GCTGTGATGTGTATTTTTGCTTATTGTCCTATTAAAGAAAACAGTCATGTTGAAATATCAACCATCAAGCTGCTCATCTGAGGTAACGTTTATGAATTTTGAAGTAGTTCTCTCCTTTTATTCCATTTACTTTGTGCTGTACATCAGAATCACTGGGAATGGAACAGACCCTCATCATGATGTTACCACCACCATACTTGGTACTGTATTCTTGGGTATAATAATATCTCACCTCAAATTCTCAAAACCTAACCTCTTGTGATTGGGATCAAAAAGCGTTTCATCAGAAGGCGTTTAGCTTCTTGTGAGCAGTTCCTAATTTTAAGAACGCTCTAAAAATATTCTTTCTGTCAGCAGCTTCTTTTTTGATGGAACAGCCTTTCAGCTCCTCCCAGGTCATGTAAAATTGTAAAACAGTAACACAATTAAAAGTGCAAAATTAGTGATTAATGCCTACAATTAACTTGTGATTTGCAGTGGAGATAAGAATAAAAACTGACAAAATATATATTAGGGCTTGTAGTGAATGACTGTGTTGAAGAAACTTTAGGAGGTCTGTGGTTCGTAACCACCATGAATATCACAAGTTCCTTATACTGGTATACCAAAATGTATGGTCTGAGTTTGCTTAGGCTGTTATTTTTGCCTTGATTTTTATAAGTTTTTAAATGGTAGAATTGTGTTTTCTTCTTTTTGTGTGTTTGGAAAATGAAGTCAAACTTAGTGTATTTAATTTTGTGTTTAGGTTAAGGTCTCCGGCTCTTTCAAAAGCTCTTTTTTCTGGTGTTTTCCCCAGATACTTTCTACACAAGCCCTCTTGTCTTAAACAAGGGAGTTTTAGCAGATGAAGAAGTGTCATTTGAGGAAAACGGTTACTTTGTTGGGCTCAGAGGATATAGTGTCATCCTCAGCATTCCCAGGCCCAGGGAACAGCTTCTGTATCGCCCAGTCCTTACGCTGAGGACACCTGAGAAGTCTGTTCTGCGCAGTGAATGAATCTCTGTGGCTACTTGTGCAACTCAACCAAAAAAGCATTCTGAAAAAGCAAACCCTACATGAATAAGGTTGAGAAATCTCCACCATCTTTGTACATAGTGAAACTCATTACCAGCATAATAGGCAGCAGTAATAGAGGTATTAAATTTTTAGTGAAAATCCATTACCAGTTCCAGCTGCTACAGCTCTAGGTGGCACGGACTGACGATTTCCACAGCGTTGGTCGTTCTGTCTCCAAGATTACGCTTCTTAGATACTGATCGTAAAATGTCCGCTTAGTTGACACTTTACAACCTTCAAACTTAATAATAATGCAGATAGAAGGCTTGATGTCCGATATATTTACTGATATTTCACAATGAAAGAATTGATAGAAGACACTGCTGCTTATCAACCAAACACCCCCAAGAAGCATTCAATATAGGAGGATAAAATTGCTCCAGCGCTAATAACTCATAGTTGGTTCAGAAAAAGCTGGGTAATTATAATAAAATATTTGCTGCTCTGCAGACTTTGCTCCAACCAGCAGCTGCTACTTTGCACTCAAAATGAATCAATTTTTAATCAGTTAATTCATTTAATGGTATATGAAATAGCATACAACTAAACAAGATGATGTTGCTGTTTGATTTGTAACAGAAATATATGGAAGTGGTGGACATTTATTGATTTACTCAACCTTTTGAGTTCTGGGTTTGTGTTTTTGTACGAAGTTCATAAAAAGATTTTATTATTAAGAGCTAAATATTTACTCATTCTATATATACTTGTTACTTATAGAAATTTTGAAACTGGTTTTAATAAGCTATTGGATATAATTCTTTCCCATTTGTTTGACTACTTAAAATCTAAAGTTTAGCAAAGTTCAACTTATCCTGAAACATATCAGGCTATTCATTTTTGAGGGCTCAAGTAGCCTTAATATTTAGAGCTATATCTTATCCTTTATCTATTTTAATAACTACTCTGACTGACCATAGACTAACATTATCAAATTTATGGGAAAGAATTGAAAACGTTATAAATCATACATTAAATTAAATGTGTCTGTATGTTATTTTTCACATTTGCCATTATTAGCACTCTAGTTTTTCCTCCACCAAGTTAATTGTAATTTCTTTTAAATGTTTTAACTGCCAGTAGGCATCTGATAACCTGCAGGCTAACTGCACCTATATCAGATAACATTAAGCCACAAGGATGCTGACACATTGAAACTGTCTCTTCTTTGTTTAAATAATTGCTAGTGGATTACTGGAACTGAAATAAAAATGATGGAATTTGTTGTGAAATCAGTTGAACTCTGTCTCAATTTCGCAATTTTAGGTACTCCATTTACAGGATTTATTCTCCAGTGCAGTTAGTGTTTGATTTTGTTACATTTTGATGTGCATTACTTGAGTGATAGACCTTTTAGTTTTCCTCTTAAAGCTCTGCAGATTGTTCTTTTACATCAAGGCTGAAATCTAAGCAATTTTGTCTGTGACTTAATTTTCCCATCATGCGTCCTCATTATTTCTGCTTTAATCTGGGAACACAGATAAGTGGTCTGGGCTTCTCTCGCATTGTACATCATTCCAGCACTCCCCAGGAGCTGAACAGCTTCTGGAAGGTTTCCAGTTTACCATGTGGTACAGGAGTCGTTGCAACAGAAGGTGAACCTTAATTGCTGTTATTTTTCCAGGACTCCTCCTGACCTACATTTAATTATTCAGAAACACCCCATCTTATGTTCTGCACGTGAAGCAAAAACTGGAGTTTTTTGTATCATAAATGTAAGATTTTATTCCCAGTATCTGTTTTTTATGGTAAGGTGTTTTGTGCTGTGCAAATTGTTAAAAGAAAGTGAAACAGTCAGACAAATGAAAGCTTTTTTTAAGCAATATAGGTGGAAATGTAAAAAGTATGATTTTTAGCTTGCTACTCACCTGTTTTGATGTACTTGCATTTGGATAAAATCAATGTTCAGCATTGCACTCCAACACTTACCTTGCAAAGTATTAAATCCCTGCACAAGTCTACCCATTCTGTCCCTATACATAACCTTTATGTTTTGGGGATTGTATGTATAAAATTCTGAATAGAGTAAAATGATAATTATCAAAAAATGTTCACGCATAAAAATCTGAAAAGTGTTATTCACATGTATTTGGCTCCTTTACTTGCGTACCCCTCAATCAATTTCAGTGCAATCATTTGCCAGAAGTTAACTCTAAACGGTGAAACATAGTGGTGATGGCAACATGATGTTGAGATGAGATCTGGGACCACTTTGACTAAAAACAGGTGGGGCTAAATAGGGAAATCCTTAAAGAAAACCTATTAAATGCTGCAAATACAAGAGATTGGGTGGAGGGTCACCTACTAGCAGGACTCCAACCAATACCGACAATGAAACACTAAATGAAAAAAAACTTTCTCTTCAGTGGTTGGATATTCACAACCAGTGCAACACACATCAACTGTGTCACCCTTCTTAAATATGTAGATGTGTCACCTGACTGACACAACTGCACTGACCCAGTAAAAGCAGGCAGTTAATAATCTCTTCCAAATGTTTGCAGAAGACTTATTGGATCTAAAAGGCAAAGGAGATGAGGTGAAGGAGCTGAGCGAAAACTCATTTGTTCAACTATTAACACCGTAATTTATGCAGAATCCTCTTGTGGAGCTGCCTTTAAATCCTTCAGGATAGAGTTAAACATCTGTCTCTCCTTTTCTCTAAATGTTGACCATGTAAACAAAGAAGCAAAGCTATGTCATATAGTGATATGATATTTTTAACTGCATTTGACTCACTGAATTGACTGTTCCCTTCAATATCTCCCTTATTATCGAACTTCCATGCCATTAAACATTATCAAATGTCAATGGTTTATCTGTTTAGGGCTCATTGCAATATTTCACTTAACTTTACTGATGCTACGGCGCTACCAACATGTATTAGTGCTGACCAACGATTCCTTCTGTAAATAAATGACAACCGAGTCAGACCTCTTTGTTTACACAACTTGGTGATTCTCAGAGGGCTTAAGGTCCTTTTTTTTTTTTGTAGAACCATACATTCATTTACATTGTGATTCATAACAGAAAAAGGTAAATTACCTTTTGTTCTCATACATACAGATGTTTTACATTTTGGGTTTATGGGAGTGAAAGTGTGGGAGATTATGGAATTACTTTGCAGTTCTGGCATACAAAAGACATGTTCTGGCTTTGCTTTGACACAGAATATGGTACAAATTCATCAGTTCAGAATTAGAAGAATATGTAATATACCAAATGGGAACTTGCCAAAAACACTCTAAAATCTGAATTGTTAATTGAAAATATAAGAGGCCATGTCCTCTGCGTGTGAAAGCTGTTAGTCTGCAGGTCAAAGTTTTTTTTTTTTTTTTTTTAAATTTTTTATTTATTTATTACTTAATTACATCAGTATGTTGAAAGAAATAATATGGTTAAGTGTGTACAAAAACATGCTAGGCTGAAAAGAAATATTTCTTCTTAGGAAATACTTTGTAGGTATGGGTTTGCTGTGATATTCTGACAGAATGTGTGTTTGACCCAGAAGTTGCAAATGTCTTGAATGATAATTATAACGCCTCACGTGTCAACAAACCATCTTAAATAATGATAACAAAATGATATGAATGGAGTGAGGCAGACCTCCAGGATGGGAGCTCTAAGTCTTTACCACAGGTATTTCCCCACACCTCCCACTCCAATTTTTTAATTTTTTTTAGCTAATCGTTGCACATATGTGTCCACTGACACTCTACTTTTTGGGAAATTGTGTGCATCTGGAATGGAGCGAGAGTTGGTGTTCCTGATACCAGAGTTTTTTTTTTTATTCATTTATTTATTTTTTTTAGTAAACTATGACTATATTTTAATTTCTTATTTGTAAAGGTTTTATTTAATAGACTAATGTAAATTTTCAGTCTACAAAACATGATCCAACATCACACACTCATAATTCTCTTCTTATTTTTCTGTCTCCACAGACATCATTGACAAGAGTGAACTAAAGGCATTCTTTGAAAGCAACTGCTCACAGATTTATTTTATCTTCTATGAAAATTTCATTACACTGGAAAGCAGCTTAAAACAAAAAGGTAAGTACCAGGCATGTCAGTTTCACTTGAGCCTCAGCGCGTTGGTGTCTCTGTGTTTTTAACGATCATGTTCTTGCCAAATATATTTCATTTCCACTCTATATTTTTGCTTTGTGTGTTTTCAGGGAACAAATCTCAAAGGGAAGAGCTGGACTCTATCCTCTTTATTTTTGAAGTAAGTCAGTTATCCTCTATTCATGTTCCAGATCCACCTACAACCTACTGTAGTCTACAACCTGTTTTTCAGCTCAGCTCTGGGGTGGGATCATAATTGCAATTGTCTTAGAACTCTGCTTGCTACCTGTATTCAAGAACCTGAATAGCAAGAACGGATTGTGAAAAACAAAACAAAAAAAACCACAAAACGCTCAGCTCAATCATTACTTCTTTTTAAAAGCCCAGAGTTAATGCAAATCTCAGAGGGCATGTCCAAAGTGTATGTGAGATGATGGGTCTGGAGGTTAAAGTCCTTTTACTTTTTTTTTTTTAACCGCACTGCAAAGCCAGCTCAAGTTTCAAGTACAAACAATCAGCTCTCTAGTTACATTTGCTATGGGCAGGTCTTTTAAGATGGCAGCAAAACAAAATGGAAGTAGCCTCTCTGTTCCTTTTTGTTCAGCATGTCATTTTCAACATTTTCTGTCAACCTTTCTCTCTGCTTTTCATCAAGAAAACTGCCCTGACTGTCATTAATGTCAGCCACTCATCTGACCTGTAAATAGATCCTGGATTCACTCCTCTTCCATATTTATGGAGTCAATATTGAAAGCAGCTTAACCCTCATTTGTCCCCTTTTAGCCCCCGTCTGTGACAACGTGTGCTTTCACCCGTGTGCTGAGTAGATAAGCTTGCTTTGAGTGGGTGTGTACAGGGCAGATACAGAGTTTCTTTGATCCTGAGCTCTGGTACACTACATTAACGTACTCTTTCCAAACTGTTATATTAGTAATTTTTCTCATATGTGATCTTAAATTTGTTATCAGAGGCTGTGTCTTTTATCTGGTTTAACCAGGTGTTTTGTTATGTGCTAATGGAATGATGGCAGATGAATTAGAAGATAGTTGTATGCTATTTGTATGAAAATGCAGTTCATTGTTGAATATTTGTATGCAGCAAATCCACACATGAATGGCTAATGTTGCCTTGGAATGAATCGAGTGTCTTAATGCAAGGGAATAATTGGAAAGAAATTTGTATCATTAATTTTCATCAAAAGAAGCTGAGAATAAATTAATTCCTCTATTAAATCTAGCTTCAAATCCAGTTTGATAATTGTCTGGAATAAAATCCAATTTGTCTTTGACAAAGCTTTATACGGTCCTGCACACGCTTTAATTAGATTGGACAGGTTAAGAAGAATAACACATCTATACTAACTATATTTGTGGTACGAATATTTTGGGCCACCAGAAAAATTTGAATATGGTGTCTCAGCAGCATCCAGATATGTTTGTTGTGTATTGTAGATGCATGTTTTCTTAGAGTTTGCTGCATGGGGATTACTTTTCAGCCATGATCAAGCCTGTGACCCCTTTTTCTGTGGCTTGCAGAGGGGGGAGTGAGAGCTCCCATGCTGATCCTTGGTACCTTGAGTGGATGCTTTTGTTCCTGCCCATAAGCTCAATTGGAGTTTTCCAACCCCCATTCAACCAGCAATCATCACTGCTCCTTTCCAGGATTTTATTCGTGTCTGCTGCCACAGAGATTTCAGCAAAAGCATATGTTAAATGTTGCAACATGATAGCTGTACAGCCCTCATCTGGATTAGGATCCAGAGACATTTTAGAAGAAAACGATTTTGGAAGCAAAATAATTACATCCATATCAGCATTTATTTAGTTTTCATGGTTACTTCACTACTGCTTTAGATCAGTTGATGTTTAGAAACTGTTATAATGTAGCCCAGCTATAGAGGCTTCTATATTTATAGAAAAGCGATGGCCATTTATTGCATTACTTGTCATTAGTGCTGGAAACTGATAATCATAAGAGTTGAGATTTATCATGATAAGGTAAACATTGAATGAGGATGTCTGTAATCAATCATATCAGTTTCGTTGGGTTTCGTTTCGTTGCTTTTTAATTTGTTCTGTGTCAACTATTATCAACATATGTGAAAATATTTCAGTTATAATTATAACTGGAATATGTATTGATAATGTATTTTATTTAACTGGTCTGCCTAAGTAGACCATATGAGAATTAGTTAATAAGTTAGATTTCTAGGTAATATTTCATTTCCGGATTGATAATGATGTTTGTGAAAGAGGTAGTGATTTTTCAGAGGGTTCAAAAAATTACTCTTAGGAAGGTGGTAATATTTCACGTGGAGTGTGTTCATACATTGCATGCTACTGTGTTTATGGTCACATCTGACATAGCCTTTAGTTGATGTGACATAAATAAAGATCATGTGGTTTGAATCACAGAAAATCCTGCTTAATTCAATTACAACTGATAGAATTTACCTTAATTCACAAATAGACAAAATGAAATCAAAACTCTGCATGAGTGTTTTGATTGCCTAAGTCTATGTGAGAACTACAAACACCGAGAACAAATGCCCTGATGAAGTTCAGAGCCTTGACATGCAATGTTGATAGCTAAATCAGGCTTTTCTTGGTGACCTGAGTGACTTCTACAAATGTTGAGTTTTTAAGTACACTTTTTCTGCATAGATCATAACATTTATACTTGCTTTTTATATAGTTATTGAAACTACACTTACGGTATATCAAAGTATAATTCACAGTGATTTAATTATTTTTTTCCCTGGGAAAAGATTTCTATTTTGAACTTACAATATGTGGTTCTCTATATTGAAGAACATTTTAGAATCCAGCTTGTTTTTGTAAGTGAGAAGGAGAGGAATAGGCAAATGCTTTTATGACAAACACTGAGTAAAGCAGTAAATGTAAGACCAGAGTCTGTTTTACAAGGCAGTTTTTGCTGTCACAAGACCAGAGTGAGTTTCTCACCCCTTCAGGGACTCCTGACTTGTTTATGCTCCCACATGACTCTTCACTGTCTGAGAGCATTTTTATCTTGGTGCCAGTGAGGTTGTGGGACAGGTTAAGGGACACCCTTAAAACCAGCAACATTTAGAAGAAAGTCTGTTCCAGGACCCTTTTCGCTCCAGGATATGGCCTTTCTGTGACCTCTTGTCTATCAACCGGACCTGAATCAGCATTCCAAATTCCCTCTACTGTTCTCTCTTTCAATCTCCCTTTCCATATTTAAAGGATATCTTATTGGTATTCATCTTCTTTGTTAATGGGAGAACCAAGAGAATTGTGGTTAACAATTATAATTAATGAATTTTGAACAAATCTCACTGGGCAAATGGTGAGGTAGACCGGTCACTGATTCATAACACACCGTCATCACCGTCATTTCCCTGACAGTTTTAAGAAACTGTCAGGGAAACCTGAGTACCCACAATAAAACCACATGTTCTCAGGGAAAACGGGCAGACAGATACCAGGCTGGGAATCAAACCCAGGACCACCTTACTGCATCGCAAAAAACAGTCAAAGCTATGTCACCGTGCGGCCAGCAGAATTTCCACTACTTTAATGCGAATAAACCCCCAACACAAGTCATTGTTGTTGGTCCCAAAAATGCAAGGTTAGAGAGCAGCAACTCATAAGACTAAATACGACAAAGCATTAATTAAACCTTGGGTCTTTAGTTTTAAAAACAGCTACAGTGTATTGCTAAAGCCTTCTCTTATTTTAAAAAAATGTCCAGAATGAAGAAAATCTGTGTCAAAACAGGATACAACAAATTCCAACATTTTTTTTAAGGAGTTCAGATTACTTTAATTGTCTTAAGTCTGTTGGTCTATGTATCCTAAATAAAGTTTCCTAGCCAAATATCAGGGAGCTTCAGCTTATTCAAAGTGCTGCAGCAAGACTCATGTCCAATACGATGAAAATGGATAATACCTTAAATCACTGCTCTCCGCTTGTTCATAAAATTCTGTAAAGTGCTTTGTGATATTTTTATCTGTGAAAATGACTATAAACATAAGATTTATTTATCTAGAATGAATTATCTTGATCCTTCAGTTTTCTCACAATTCTTAGGATCAGAACTAATCAAAGGAAAGCATTTTCCATTTTTTGCAGTTTTGCAGTTTTACCTTTCTTAAGAACTGAAATGTGAAGAAACTGGTGGATCCCTCAAATCAGGACTAATATTTTCACGTACATGTCAAATTTTATCAGTTAATTTGTATCATGTCTAAGCTATTTGTTTTAAACATATATTTTTATTTGTGTTTAGAATGTGATTTTATTACCTCTCTCCTCTTTTCATATAAATAACTTTAAATAATACTTTGCATATGAATTGTGCAATCCAGACACTCTTGCCTTACCTAATTAGTTATTGCAGGCTGCTGCTGCCACCCACTGGCCCTTGAGGAGAATGAAGCCATGTAATTCTGGTCATTCTATTGGATATTTTTGCTTAATGTCTTTTGTCTCATTTTGACATTTCTTTTTCAAATTTATCTTGGATGTTTTTAGTTTAGCTAAACTAAAAACACTTTGTTTGAAAATAAAATAGCATAAGAAGTAAACTGTTTGACTCAAGCACAAGTATTTAGTGGTATTGATGCTCCTCATAAGTTTGCCACATTTTATATGCTCTTAGTGCAGTGCTGTGTGCAGATTTTAAGTTTTTTGTTTGTTTGTCTTGTTAGTTTCATCTTTGGATGTTGTGATCCTCTCTATGTCGTCAAAAATCCTTAAGACTGTGTAAATGACAAATGTTCCTCAGAGAACAGTATACATCTGTTACTTCCCTTTGAAAAGCCCTCATAAACTACTGATATTCGCTGTCATGTTCTGGCTCTGCCACTGGAAACCTAAGTGCGGATCATGTAAATGCGTTAAGGCAGCGGTAGTACCACAATAATGCCTCTATCTTTATGCTGGAGTATGGCTGCAGATTACAGTAACTCCTCCAACCTCTAGCCCTGCAGACTCTGTATTCGCCTCATATTGCCCACTAAATTCATCACGTTGGTGCTTCTGTTCCCTCACTACAGGGAGTTCTTCTGCATTAGCTATCCGTCTCTCGTTTGTGTTCCTTTGTTGATGCTCTCAGATAGGAAAGACAATGATATTGTGTCTGTACACGCACGCACTCGCACATAGGGAAGGGCTTAAGTAGGCTACCATGCTGTGCTGCAGCCTGGCATAATGTCTCTGCTGACCCAGGGAGAAGTACAGCTCCAGTACAGGGATGTAAGACTCCCATGTTGGATCAATAATAAGGTGCAGCTTCCCATCTGGACACGCATATCATCATGTCTGTGGAATCGGATCAGAAAGAAGTTTAAACAGAACAGATTATCATTGTGTCTTTTCTTAAAGTAATACATGCTTCATTTTCTCTTAATAAATGATTTAAAAAAAACACTAAACCTTTTTTCTTTTTTGTAAAACTCACCAAGAGCAATAAAAATGTTATTGGAGAGCATTAACATTGGCACAAACATTAGCAGTGCACTGCCCCCCACTAGTTGGGGGAGGTGCCTTTTCCCTAAACTAAGCTTTTTATCTTCTTTTTTTTAATTCTCCATATTTAGCACACTGAATGAAGGAAGTCAATGTAAGACAACATGCTAGTTATACCCCATATACCACCTGCAGCAATTAGGCTAACATTTGCATTTTGACTAGTTTTAGCTTATACACTAATTTTAACATACTGAGTAGAGTTACTCAACATGCTTGTGACTCTACACATGCTACATTGAGTACATTGTAGCTTACCTCAGAATTTATGCTAATTTTTAGCTTTAGAACACTGAGTTTTAATTGTTGGGCACACTTTGGCAGCCCCCATTTAAATTTCATCAGAAGTTTGCTAGTGTTACATTTACCGATGCATTTATTTTGTAAAAATACACATCTTCAACATTTTAAGAATTTGATCACTTTACCTTTAAAATGATTCCATCCTGTGAGCTTTCTCTGTGTGATGCTCCTGCAGCTCTGTATAGCTGCAGCTGACTTAATCTTTTTGGCCTTAAAGGTCTCGCATTTTTTTTCTTCCTGTTATGCTCCAAATCCTTCACTATCTCAGTTTCTCACTCTCTGGGGCAGATGAGCTTTTTACTATGCTGTCCAGCAATGCTTGTCTTGTTAAGTGGGTCAGAACTGCCTTGGTAAAGCAGTAAAAAGGCAGGCTTGACCTCCACATTGCAATCATGAAGACTTATTGGGTCAGTGATTAGGCCTGATAAGAATTGAACCATCGGGAGCACAGGTTGATCCCAGTGAACCGACTATCAGGTAGCGAGGGGGCCACAGTTGCAGTGTTTCCCCCCCAGGCTTTTTTCCTCTTTCAATCTCTCCAGCGGGACCCAGCTAACCTGTCGCTGGATTCAGGAATAATGATAGGCTGCTGAAAGGTTAGGGTGCACTAATTGAGTTGTAACGTGGTTAACGCTGAGGTGTTGAGTGCTCTCTTGTGTCTCAAGGTTCTGCACACTTTCTAGGAAAAGTGGAGGCAAAGGGTGAATGCACTGTATTCCTGAAACATGTACTTCTTCAGTCAAACGATGGCACTTACTAAAGTAAAGTCAGTCGTTACCACCTTTCTTTTTTTTTATACTGTTTTTAGAAAGCAGATGCAGCCCCACTGATGGTGCCCATGGGTTTGTGGGCTCTCGTTTTGAAGACCTGAGTTCAGCTATCTGTCTGTTTGAGAAATGGAGCTAGTTTTACTTCTGACTGAGAGCCAAGAAGCAACACAAAACTGAAGTGTAACAGCTTGGCTGTCTATATATCCCACACTAATGCAACTGACATTTATTTCCAATATAATAATCAATCTTATTCTATGTAGTTATCTAGTTTAATAGCTACTTAAAAACTGATGTAATGGTTATTAAAATGGATACTAAATAAATATTTGGTGTCTTATTCTCATTTTGGGGAAAAAAGTTATTGTCTTATTTTGGCTGTAATTAATTATCTTTATCAACCTTATAAAGTAAGAGTATTGTTTTGATTGTTTTTCTCATTGTGCCTGTCTTCAATAAAAACATAATTATTATTATTTTTTTTTTTTCAACTTCTCACAGATCAGAACTGATGTAATTGAAAACCGGTCTGATTATAGTGCATCTCAATTATCTTCTAGTCTCTACTTTCTTCTTCTGTTGGTGTTTGGTTTGTTGCTACTTTTTTTGAGAACTTCAACAACTAAACCTTTCATAAACCGAACCATAACTTTTCTTTTCATCAGAAAATTCTTCAACTTCTGCCTGAGAAAATCTACAACAGATGGCAATTTCACAGTATAGGTATGTACTTAGACAAGATATGCAATGTGTATGTTCTGTTTATTGTTTGAACTTTTCTAATGTCTGAGACATTTAAGTATAAACAATCACAAGCACACATCAGTGATATATGTGGAAGGAAAAATAGATTAGCATTTGAAAATCCAAATAAGCACTTGATTTAAAATGTAATTTAGTTGAGGGACACTTAAAAAATTGTGTGCTGCTGCACACAATTTTTTTCAAGATTGATGACCCCAATTATAACTGTTTCTTATCAGTTCTGATGGCTAAAACAGTTCACGTCTAAATCAGTGTTACAGACTGGCCATTTATCCCACCCTGCATTTACAGGGGATTTTCTCTTCCACTCATCGGTTCATGTGTCACTGGTCAAGTTGTGGTGCAATTATTTTCACATTTGAGACTAGATAACTGCCATATTTTTTGTTATCACATTTTTACATCCATTCCAGTACTGCTTCAACGTCTCTGCCTCCTGACAAATTCCCTGGGTGGCTGGAATGACATTCATGACTTATTTGTTTAGTCCCTTTCAAACTGAGACTTGCAAGGTCACAGACATTTTACACCGCTGTTAAGATACTTCTGTGCTCAAGTCCGCAAGTATGAAAAGATGAATTTATGCTATTGTGCATCCAGCATTCTGATGATGACACCAGATGAAAAAAGTATAACAACACAATCACCTTTTTTATTGTAAATCCTATTGCCAACAGGTTATGGATAACTAGCATTTGCAGCTTTTACAATAACTGTTGCAATTTGTTCCAATGATTTTCCAATTATTTTATGTTCCATTGTGTTGTATGTGTGTAAAAAAACATTATCATTCAATTTATTGTACTGCTAAGTTCTTGAATATGTGGCATATGTATGATGTTCTTATAGTCTGAATTTTTTATGAAAAAGCAAATGGAAGACATATATATATATAAATCCATTATTACATGTCGTCCATGTGTCATTTGTTGAATTAAATTTTTTCCCCATTTTTCCACTTTTTACATGTATCCACCTTTCAATCAAGCCCCCATTCATACCTTCATCTCAGCCTGTTTCATCTCACGTGTCAGCCTGTTGACTGTGCTTCTGTGAGCTACAGTCGAACCACTATAGCAATGTCGGCTATAAATTCATAGGAAAAATCGTTCTCAACATAGTGGTGACACCACAAACCCCCTCCAATATATATTAAAATAATTAAAGTACAGTTACTCTAATACACATCATGAAGAAACTGATTGGTAAATAACCTAATTTTATGACTTTTTGCACCAATAACTTGGTCTATTCTTCTGTTTTGTTTTATTCTATTTTCTGATTAGTAATGTACTTTCCTACATATGAAGTAATGTTCCAAATAAACATGGTCTTGAACCTACCCCTAAAGCTCTCTTGTTTACAATCAGTTAAAATATGTTGCCCTTCCATTTTGTCCTCATAGTAACAGAGCTGCTTGCTGCCTGTCAAAACTGTACCCTAATTCACACAAACCCCTTCTGGCTCGCAATCAGAGCTGTGTCTCATCTGATTACAGAGGAAACAGACTGGCTTCATGGATTCGTTGTACTGTCAACTAATGTTAATTTGGATTGGAAAAATGTGATGATGTGCCACTTGGCCTGTTCATTTGTCAAGATCCCCTTTCAAAGGCCATTTGTCTCAGTGAAAACGACAGTTTATGGGGTTGCTGTGTCTTTGTAACTTTGGTTTTCAAAAATATCTAAACGTGTTTTGTTTTTTTTCTTCTCTTTTTCAGGTTCTATTCTGAAAAAACTTCTGCACACTGGAAATTCATTTAAAGTAAGTTGTTGATTGTATCTAATTCTTATATGAATGTCCAAATGCAGAAACATTACTTTCCTGCCACATGAAGTTTTGAAGATAAACTGAGTTGAATTTGAATATAAAATGAGATAATTTATCTTCTGTCTAGATCCGCTGTGAGGGGATCCGTCTCTTCCTGCTGTGGCTTCAGGCTCTACGGGACAATTCAGCCGAGGAGCAGTTCCTTATCTTTGCCTGTCTGGTCCCGGGATTCCCTGCTGTTCCCTCCTCTAGAGGACCCTGCACACTTGACACCATCATTAACAACCCATCTTCTAATACCCTAGAAGGTGACTTAGATGCAGGCCATTTGCTTATTTTGCTGGCACAGAGTCCTTCTTTTCATAATGTGGTTCATATCATTATTTTTTGGATTTTTGATCTGTACAGCCAAGGTAGTGCCTGAGGAGATCACTCCGTTGGTTCCAGCTGTGTCTGGAGAGAAGGTTGCAGAGGACCTGACTTGTTACTTTCTTGAAACACTGCTCAAGTACATGGTTATCCAGGTAATTAATAAACTTTAGCTGTGAAATGGCTCACTTTTAATCAAGGAGAAAAAGGCAAGTCCATCTTCTTTAAAATCTGGAGTTGCAGGTATCAGAACATAATAAAACTCATCTTTTTTATGTCGGGCTTCTAAATTACTTCAGTCGTACCTCAACTGCAAGAAAACATGAGACCCATTCCACAAGGTCGTTTCTACCTCAACATTGTGTTAGCACGCATCTGTGTTCTTCAGGCCATTAAATGCCAAAGTCCTGCATGTATAGAGGTGGTCATATTTACTCATTGTATGAAATTTGGAAAACGGTCAATTCAGCTTCATATGTTCATATAGTAGGTAATCCCCAATCACAACATCACTACTTGTTCTTTTTTTGTACTTGGATTTATTTTTGTCTATGGGGGCCCAACTGACATGCTGCCATATTCCCAATTTGTCACTGAAACAAGTACGATACAATTGAGTTGCAGCTGTTGTTTACAAAATGTGTGCCTTATTAATGTCTAGCATTTCTGCTGAAAACATCCCATAGGACCTCCAACTGTGAAATGATGTTCTGTTATAGTGCACTGAAGTATGTGTTATTATTAAACAGGCAAAAAAGAGCAATCTTATTAGGCAATCATTGTTTATATGATTTAAAGTGCTTTGTGTGTGTTTTTCCTTTTTTATATCCTCTCTGTATCTCACTGCATGCAGGACCTGTGTAAAACTTTAATTTAGAAATCTGTGATGTAATGAGTTAATCTTGAGGCTTAAGTGCCGATGATTACAAATTTGATTACCACAATATACCTTACTGAACAATATCCTGTTTAAAGTGTCAACTGTTTTGATTAGCATGATGCACATCTTTTTTGAGTATTTTGTGATAAGCAGTCATTCTTAACCAGCATTTATTTCAATCATATTATTGCAGAAAACTGCTGCTCAGAGTGTTAATTTTAACCCAATTAAATCTTGCCTGAGTTTTGTTTCTTATGATGGATGAGCCTTGTCACACAGACAATAAACGCTCGCTGTATGAACATTGTCTTGACCTTGTCTGCTTTTGTGCTGTTTGTCTGCTTCAGGCATCCAGTTTAGAATGGAGGAACAAAGAGAATGAAGACACAGGCTTCAGATTTCTCTTCAGTCTTTTCAAGAAGTACTATCTTCCACATCTATTCCCTTCTTTCACCAAATTCACAAATCTTTATAAGCCTTTGTTAGGTAAGTTTATTCATTCAGTATGTGTCTCTTTGTTGTTGAAGCCTTGTAAAGCAACTATTCTCACACTATATATTAAACCTGACTCAGTATCAGATTATTATGGCATAATAGTGAAAATGTTAGTTTCATATATCATGCTACTTAAGTAACAGTTGAAAAAATAAATGATTAATTAATCAGATACAATATCTGTAAGATTTATTTACTTTCCCAATACCAGTGATAGATGTTAAAATAACATAAAAGAACAAAATGTGAAAATAAATGAAAATGCAAAAGTGAATTCACAAAAATGTACAAATATGATTGTTACACAGACTCCTTATCTGTTAATGTGAAATGATTAAATAATTTTCCAATGAAAATCATTTAGTTTTGCTCTAAACAGCTGAACATTGCATACTGCAGAAGCATGATCAAATCTTGAAAGGAACTCCTATTGCAATTGAAAATTCCAGACAAGTGGTCAGGGATATCTGTATATCAATAAATAGAAGGGGTGTTTCGGGCATTTATGCGCTTATTGGAATCAGACTCTTGGGGGTGGGAGGGAAATGAGAGGAGCAGGAGGGAAAGAGACAACGGTAGAAGCAAAAAATCAGATGTCGGTTGCAGTAACAGTCAAACTGCAGGACATTTCCCCACACATTTTAAGTCGCTGCTTGATGTTTATTGTAGATTCTCTTTGGTTGTGAAAAAGTCAAATTGGCGGTCGTTAAGTCTGTTGCACTGAGGGATCACAGACCAAATGGTTTGAGAAAATGGGCAGAGATTTCAGTGTGACTCTTTCATAACTAAAGACAGAAGGTCATCACTCTGCAAGAACAGAAAAAAAAAGTTCTTTCTTGCACTTCTTGCTTGCGAGTTCGTTCAGCTTGATGTTGATGCATATTCTAGACACAATGTTTTACTTGACCGGTGTTGGTGAAATATGAAGTGTGTGTGCTGCATTGGGAGAGACCCATGCAGATTGCCTGGAAGTTCTGCCTTTCAGTTTTAAAGAACAAAAGTGAAACATGTTTGTCCTTTTCATTTCCTAGGATTTTAATAAAACATGTAATTCAAACAATTACAGCCCTAAATATGAATCTGGCGCCATAAGTCTGTCTTTCAGTTTTTATATTAGCCTCCTTTGTTCTGTGTTCAGAACTCCCCCCGCTCAGAGCGAAACCCTTGTATGTGCCGGTGACGAGGAACAATGAGAGCACCTTCTGCACCAGGGATCAGTACTTGGCAGCCAGGGTAGCCTTTATCACCTGGCTGGTCACTTTCTTCCTGGAGAAGAAGTATGTCAACAGTGCTGCTGCAGCGCAGAGCGCCAAGAACGGCACTGAGGTCATTCCCAAACTCATCCAGGTGAATATGATGCCCCTCTGTTCATTTGTTTTATTGTCAGAAAGAACGGAAGATTGTTTTTGGGAAATCTAACCAAAAAAAATGTGAATAGAGCAAGAAGGTATGTAAAGGGGAAAAAAACCCGTCCATATTCTCTTCTATATCAATAGGGAATATGGGAGAGATGCCTTATTGTATGACCTACTGATTAATAGTGCAACTCCTCCACAAACTCCAGCATTCATTAATTGTTTGATAACATTCTATTATTTCTTTTCAACTGCTATATATATTACAAAAGAAGAGAACTGTACATGCAGTCTAAATTTGTATGCAAGTAGAGCTGATGATGATTTAAAAATATTAGTTTGTATTGTAGAAGCCAAGTTATTTATCTGTGAGGATCCTCTTTAACTTATGCTGACTTCTAATTTCTTTCCCCCTGTTCGTTTCTGGCAGACTGTCACTGCAGGCGGTAGCAGCCAGGAGAAGGAGAAAGATAAGACTACTGATGGGGATACTAGTGGACCACCGGGGGATACAGAAAAGAGCCACTCTAACAGCAGCACGCTGTCTGATCGAAGGCCCAGTGATTCCAGTTTGTGTAGCATTGAGGAGGAGCACAAGCATGTCTATGACATGGTGCACTGCATTCTGCTGTCCACAAGGGACAATGTTAATTTTGTCAATGAAGTCTTCCACCAGGTACAATAAATATCTGCAAACATAAGAACTATTCTCATATCTTGTACTTTGTCTCCCTCTGCTGGTTGTATTTTTATCCTGACTGAGTTTCTTCCATTCTACTAACCTCTCTATTCAATCTCACAGGCCTTCTTGTTGCCGGCTTGTGAAGCCTCAGCAACCAGGAAGGTTATCAAAGTGTACAGAAAGTGGATCCTGCAGGAAAAGCCCGTCTTCATGACCGAGCCTGACCCAACTACCCAGGAAGATGAAGTGGATGAAAACTCGGAGCGTGTTCTGAACACAGATGCAAGCATCATGCATGTAAAAGTAAAATTCACAGAAAATTTCAATGTTGACAGGATTTACATCATTTTCACACATGGCAAACATTTGTTGTGTGGAGTGTAAAAGTACAGGAAAATAGACGTGATTATTCATGATTCTGAAGTTGTACTTTCTCCATACAATCCAAGCTTAAAACCTTTTGGGCCTCTCCCTTTGTTGTCTCTTTGTTCTCTGCAAGGCGTTTGAAAGTCACGGTCACAAACGCTCGTCAAGCTGGGGAAGGACTTACTCGTTCAGCAGTGCCATCAATCGGGGTTTTCTCACAGAGGAGCAGAATAGAGACGTTAAAGCTGGCATGCAGCCTACACTACAGGTCAGTAATACTTTGGCCCACATAAAGAAATTACCTTCAGAAATAATTGTTTTTAGTACGATAAACACCTGCCATGCTATGGTGATCTGTCAGAGTGAAATTCCATGAACAAGCGGGTGAACATGATGGATGTCTGGATGACAGACCACCTCCCTTATTGCGATCCTATTATTATTTCTTATAATTCTTATTCTTTTGCAGTGATCAGTGAGTTATCAGTATTTTTTCCTTACATTTCCCTCCTGGTGACTATTTCGTAAACATGGATCCTCATCCTGTCATGCAGTTAATAAATTACAAAAAATTAGTTTGTTTATGTTTAATTTTTACAGAAATTCTTGGATTACCGTCTAGGGAGTTGAAAGAACTCTGATCAACCTTAAAAAGTATAGAATAAATAAAAACAAAACCCATTTGTGGAAAGTATTTTAAATGGGTGTTTGGAATACCAGTTATTTTATTTTCTACCGTAGATTTGGTCTAATATGAATAAATTTGTTTTAATTAAATTCTCTCTCTCTCTCTCTCTCTCTCTCTCTCTCTCTCTCTCTCTCTCTCTCTCTCTCTCTCTCTCTCTCTATTTATATATATATATATATATATATATATATATATATATATATATATATATATATATATATATATATATATATATATATATATATATATATATATATATATATGTCAAATCTGTCCACATATGCACATGTTGCATATATCTTTGTGTATTTGTGTAGGTTTTTCTGACCAACTCATCCAATGTGTTCCTGTTGGAGCCATGCCAGGACGTTCCGAAACTCCTGGAAAATCAGGTTGAAGTGTGCAAGAATGTTCTCAGCATCTATCGGCACATGATCATGGAGCACAGCATGACTACACAGACATGGTTAGTTACTTTGGAGTATGTGAGTGATTTTCTTAGATGATTTGTTTTGGTTGATGCCTTTTTGATTCGTGTTTGTTCATTCCTCAGGGAGCAGATGCTGCAGGTCCTACTGAAGATCACAGAGGCAGTAATGAAAAGGCCACAAGAAAACCAAAGAAAAGACAGCTTTGCTGAAAGTTTAGCATCCTTACTTTTTAGGGTAAAAGCCAATATTTACCATTTTATTCAAATTTCTTTGCAGTTTAGTCATTTTTAAGTTTTAATCAACAGTTTCCCCATGAACTCACCTAAAAGTTACTGTAGATACCGAACAAGCTGAGTTCTTCTCTCCTGATTTTTTTATTTTTTTTAGACTATTATTGTGGCGTGGGTTAGAGCAAACCTCAGCGTATTTATATCTCGGGAGCTGTGGGACGAGCTGCTGGCAGTGCTGTCCTCTCTTACCTGCTGGGAGGAGCTGGTGATGGAGTGGGCCAGCATCATGGACTCGCTGACGGCTGTGCTGGCACGCTCTGTTTATGGCCTGGACATGGCCAACTTGCCTTTAGACAAACTCAGCGAACAAAAGGAGAAAAAGCAGCGAGGACGTGGTAAGGAGATTAAATGTGAAAACATGAAAATTGGGATATGGTTTTAAAAAGTGGCGAACGATACAGAGCCTTTCAAAAGTTTTAATACCATTTTCAATTTTCCTTATTGTCATATCACAACCACAAATTCCCATGTATTTTACTGTGATTTATTTTGTGATAGACAAAGGTTTTAGGTTACAAAAGAATATTGATAGCTTTGAATTTCATCTTTTCATCCAAAAATGAAAAGATGATCAGAAAACCTACCAAGACATTGTTTCTCACCTAAACCAGTGGTCAGCAATCTTTAAAGTGCAAAAAATGTCTTTTCTCAACCACAAACACTGATGCTTCAAAAAGACTAACTTATTAGAACAATATATTAATTCACTCAATGTACATACTTTATGTTGCTGTTTTGTGGTTGACAAAGTAGGGTTGATATTTGTTTTCAGGTTAAAAAAAGAAAAAGATGAAACTTTTACTTAAAAAGAATAAATTCATATCGTTTTAATTGAGATGCTGGTATTTAAAGAACAAAAAGGGAAAAAATTGTAATAAAATAATGGGGGGAAAAGAAGACCAATTGTATTGAGGTTGAAAATAACCTTTCACAATACATCACCATGGTAACACATGGTGGTGGCAGCATCATGTTGTGTGAGAACTTTTTCAGTGGAAGCAGAGAAACTGCTCAGGGTTAATTGGAGAAAAAAATCAGTGTCTAAGCTGGTAGAAATAAGCCTTGAAAGACTTGAGTTAAAAATTAGGGATGGATGTTATGGACACAATATTTTGTGGTACTATTGTGATAATAAAAATTATAATAAATTAATTTGTTTTAAGAAATGTATGGCTGTGATTGCATGGCATAGCCTTCATAGCTCCACAAACACAAATACTGTGCTTGAAAAATATCCACATTTAAAATAGACTTCTTCAGAACCCAGTTACTTAAAAAAGTGTAATTTATATCTCTAAGCAGCACCCAGTAACTGAATTTAATAATATTTTCAAATGTAATATTTATTGATGCTCTCATGGAACAAGTAAAAATAAAAAATAAAAATTTGAAAAATCAATCATTTTTTATAAATAATTCTTGTACACACTTCATTGTTATGAACTACTTTGAATTTGTTTAGCATTTATTTCTAAAATACCCTAACGTTTATGTGACAAAATATGAAAAACATTAAGTGAAATACGCTTGCAAGGTAATGTTTAACTTTATCTTCTAGTGATATAATTTTGGCTCTTTTAAACTAAACTTTGCTTCAATTCAGTTGTATTTACAATAACAATATTTTTGGTACATTGTACGTTGATTTAATTCAAGACTGTTGGAGAATCAACATAACATTTGTAAAGCCTTTATTTGTGGAAATTGTAATCTTTGTAGTATTATGCATTCTGCAGATATCTCTCTTTGTTGTCAGGATAATCCTTTCTTCTAAATCTGAATTTATACGTATAGCTCCTGCAAAACTGCCCACTGGCATTTTAGTCCTTTAAAACTCTGTCTTTGCATGCCAGGAGTAATCCAGGACTCCCAGAAGGCTGCTGCAGTTGCACGCTCATTCTCACTGAGCTGGAGAAACCACGGAGAGCAGGGTGGGCCGGTAGCCCAGGAACCCATGAGGATTCGCTCTGCCACTACCTCAGGAGCCCCCGGTGTGGAGAAAGCCCGGAACAATGTCCGACAGAAGGCCTCCGGTTAGTTTGATTCACGGTCCACTAGCAGCTCTACACCACTGGCTTTTATAAAGCTTTTCCCACATATATGCTGTTTTACAGAACTAACCAGAAATACATATTAACATTGTTAAATGTCATATTGATTCATTTGCAAGAGTTTCTTTCCTCAGGGAGGAATGATGGTACAACATAACTCACAACATAATTCACAAAATGTTTGTGTACAATTTTTGATATTATGGACATTTTATCCAATACACAGATTAAAATCATGCATGCAGGCACAAGTATACACATACATTCCACTAATATTTAGATAAATGTCTGTTAGCATGATGGACACCAGGTACTTTTTTGTCCATAACACACCCTTAGCACAGTTCTAACTGGGTACTGCTGTGGTCTGACCAAGATTTGGCTTTTGAGCATAGCTTGTGTATTTTTCATTAGTATTGGGGTCTGAGCCAATCTGGAATTATAATCCAAAATTAGTATTAAAGTGTGTTTCAGCTCATCATTGGTTAGAACACAAAGTTATATCTAAACTTAATCCCTTTTTTATTTATCTAAAGTTTATGATGATGAAGTAAGAATCATCTTACTGATGAAATACCAGTAAGATGATTCACAGTTAATTTCTGACCTCCAAAATAAACGCTTGAAGCACAACTGAGACTTTCTGCCAACCACATGGACAGACCTTTTGGGAAAAAAAAATTTATAGGCAGACAAGGAAAAGAATGAGCTTTTTAGTGATGGTGACAGTGATGTGTCTTTGTAGGGGTCAGCTTGAAGTTTACAAAGCTACGGATGCTGCACCTCCTATCAACGGTAGAGGTGCTAAAATCATGCTTTTTTTGCCATCAGCATTGTGCAAACTGGATGGAATGATAAAGATGGTGGACAACCTTCAAATTTTTTGATGTCAACATGAGTGAGTGAGTGAGTTTATGAGTTGAAACTTGGATGGCATTTCAACACCACATTGAAACTAGTGGTTTTGATATGGATAAATCAGGCTATCACTAAGCTTATGCAACAGCTCAAATTTCAAAGCTGTTGAAATGAACAGGAGCTTTGTTTGTGGCAGGAATTGAACCAGTTTAAATTACCTCTTTATCATAAGAGTGAAAAAGTAATCCAGGCAGAATTGGACAAGAGCCTTACTCCTGGCATATAGTTTCTTTTATCAATTAATCTATCAATTTATTATCTTTGATGTGTGTCACCCCTCTATCCAAGGTAAATTTCTCACATGGAATACAGATAAAGAGATGGATTTTACAACTTATTTTGATATTTGACAGATGACAGAAAATCATCTAAATACTTATGGTTGCATTTGCTGTGTGTGCATGTGTGTGTGTTTGCATACAATTCATAATAAATTCATACTTTTCTGATCTTGTATAATTTTATAATAATTCCAATCTGAAAAAAAAAAAGTTAAACTTCATTGTGAAAAACTTTATATTTTTTGCGATTACCATAAGTGCTTCCAGCACTCAATTGTGAGGAAATGTATGTAAACTTCACTTGTGAATGCATTGTATTTCTGTTTTTTGGGGGTAGCCTGCACAGCAAAAACCACGCACAGGGTTTATCAGACATAATGATCTTATGTGGAAATCTTTGAAAGGGGCCAGGTGCCAGTGGGATGCAATTCTGTAGACAAAGAGGCCAACAGATGGCCCTCATTGTTTCTTTGACATGTCACTGGCCAGTGTCTGCATATTCCATGTCAGTTTAACTGCAGGCACACAGAACAATTCCCTAGACTACATGCCAAAAATAGGGGTTCAATGTTGCTGTAATGGCAGCTTTTATTTGATTGAGAAGTGGGAAGTAAATTATATGTTTAACTGATAGACTTGTCAAACATTGCAATGCTTTCCTATGTTTTTCTGTTTTGTTTTAATCCAGATGGTCAAATCAAAAGGAAATAGTTTTTTTTTTGTTTGTTTGTTGGTTTTTTCCATTTAATCCACCAATTTTGCTCTCAGATTACAAGCCTGTTTGGAAAGGATGGGATTTTTTTATTTGCTTAAAGGATAATGTGTCTGTATGCTTTTATGTGCATGTGTTGAAAAATCAATTATGTCCCTTAGGTAGATGTTTATGCATCTATTTTTTTAGCCTGTTTATTTGTATCTCAATGCAAGTAAAGATGGACATTAAAAGCAACCGCTTCAGATTCTCCTCCTTTCTTCAGCTTAATTGGATTGCTCTCACATTGATCTTCAAAGGAGCAACAGCCCTTCTCCTTGCTCCTCAAAAGAAAGCCCACACATCAATTACACTGGAGTTTTTGATTGTTTCATTAAGAGTGTAATTAATGCTCATTAATATGCACAAAACAAGAAGCAGCAGTGGGCTGTGGGAGATATGATGTATCTCTCTTAACTGAAAGGCATAATTAAAGTGTGCTGAAAGCAGATGAGAGAAGCACCTTTTTTCAGTGCTTTCTATGAGAATAACCCTGAAGTACTATCCAGACACAATGGTAAAGCATCAGCATTGACAACTGTCAAAACTTGGTTGCTCTTACACATGCAAATGTACAGTCTTATTGTGAGATATTTCTTATAATGAAGAAAAAGGGTCTTTAATTATAGAGCTCATTAAGTGTCTGCAAGTACACAGATCCAGGTGAATAAACTTTCCTCTTGCCTTTGATTTGAAGGCTACTAACCGGTCGCAATATCCTATTTATATTTTATTAGATGTGAACAGCTAATTATTTTGGGCAGAAACTTGTTAAATACAATAACTTTTTTGTATGTATTTGTATAAAGTACATGAAATAAATACAGGTGCAGCCTAGGGATATTTTTTTTTCAGTTCAGAAAGCAAAACTCTAAAATGCACAATTGATTAACTATGTTGCCTTCAGTTATAAAAAAATATTTTTAAATGTCAATCACAACTTAAAAGGAATTTGACTTTGTAATTTTATCTCTTGAAATTAGCTTCTGGCTCCTTAAGAAGCTTGTGCTCTTCCCAACATTCAGCCTTCATAACAATCCCTCTGCATTATCTCATTTAAACCATTCTTAGGGACATTGTACTGGGAAGTAGTTCATACAGTAATCTCAGCAGACTCATAGGTGCTTGCTAATTGCTGCTTCCACTTTTCACATGCATATCAAAGCATACAGACACAATGTAGTGGAGTAACCTTTATCAAGTTGTCACAAAATAACCACTTCTGTAATCGCATGATGATGGGATGTCCATAATATTTGCTTTTCATCCTAACGTTAAGTTACAGCTTGAGTTATTTGGTGTCTCAGTACATTCTGAGTCATATGCATGTGTGATCCTTACAATTTTGTAAAGAATCAAAAATGACTGTAATTTGCATATATTGAATTTGCTCTTGCAGTATTTGTGCAAACTTTGTTCTTTTTAATTTGTAACCTTAATGTTTTTGCACTTTATTTCTTGCAAGAGATGTTACATCTATCTTGAGCAATATCAAGATAGATGTTCAGCAATTACCAATATTTAATATTCCTTCAAAATATAGTTTTAAGTTGCTTAATTTCACTTGCTTAATTTATTTAGTTTTCTACTTAAGTTTTGTGTTTTTTTTCCCATTCCAAGAGGAAAACTTGCTCAATTGTTCCTGCTTAATGTGACACTTTTTTTCCTCAAATAACTTCCTTAATTATGTGAGAAGTTATGTGTAGCTATTTTGTGTTTGGCTGTGATAAAATACTCTCAGCTGTTATGAGTTAGAGTAGTTGTATTTTCTATTGATCGCATCTCCTTTTTTCTGGGTGTTATATGGTAAAACCCACACAGAACTACAAACTACAGTTAGTTTGTCTTTCTGATGTATTTAAATGGCATCACGGGAAAACGTCTTATGTCTGCGTGATGTAAATTACTTATGTGATTTAAAAAAAAAAAACATCATTAGAAGTGACTGTTTTATTGAATTCTGTCTTCTTGCCTTTGCCTTTCTGCTGTTTCCACTATCTGTTTTCTTCCCTCTCTATCTTTTCCTGATGGAAGCTAAGCGAAGCCAGTCCATCAGCAACTGTGTCCATCTTTACGAGGCTTTGCCCACTACTAAAAGTGTTCCTATGCTGCTCCACACTGTGAGCTCTTTCTTGCCTGGTATCTCTTCTGGTAATTCTGCTTGCTCTCATAGACTCTCAGGTAACGTGCACTGCGAGAGCCGCATGTATTTGTGTGTTTGTGACCTCCGCCCTGCATTCTCATCCATCTCTAACATATTTTGACAGTTAATAGTGTTTATGACCGTATTACCTGACCTGTGCTGTATGAAAATGGGGGAAGCTTGGATTAGATTAGATATTATTATTTTTCCAGGGAGAATAGCTATGAAAAATGAAGAAAGAGCCTAGAAAAATATTCTTACACTTTACTTCTAGTTACATTGTTGAGAAACTATCGATCCATCCGTCCATCCATTTTTTTCAGATTTCACATTTAAGCATTTCCGTGGCAATTTTTGAAGTTATATGGCAAACATTTTTCAGTAAGCATTTGTATTTGTTGTAAAAATGGGCAAATTTCATCATGAAAAAGCTGTAGGAACCCTGGTTTTATTTTTAAAAATAGTTCCTTATGTACTGAACTCCCTTTATTGCAAAATTGCAGTCTGTAACAAAAGCATCTCATTAGTTATTACTAATGCATGTCTGCATGTGATGTTTTCCTCCATGTCTTCATAACAGTCTGTTCTGCATCATGAACATTTCTTCATCTCCTTGGAAATAATGCAATTATACTTTTATACTTTTAATTTTATTTTCAGATGATGTAGTGACACAAACTGACCTTTTTTTTATTTTTCCCCCTCCAGATGTGGAAGAATGTCAGCTCTCAGAATGTGGAGGAGAAGAAGAGATGGGGGGCAGGGAGAGTCCTCTGCAGCGGAGCAGCAGCACATCAGACATCACCCAGCAGCTGTCTGACACTTTACCAGGTATTGAACAACAACAACAAAAAATATTCGCTCTATTTTACTTATATCCTCATTCTCATTCATAACTTAAATTGTGAAGACACTATTCAACTGAACCGTCATCAGTCATTCATGAGTGGAGTTGCCTGTATGCTAATTACTTTTTTGTTGTAATTTTATATGACAAAATGTCATTATGTCCATATTACAATGGTATAACAATATGATGTGTCACAATTAAACCCCTGTTAAGAGAATCCTATTTAATGAAGACTAGAATTAAATCTGTATTTATTTCAATAATGCAATTCATAAAGTGATTTTTTATACACATTTTATGCATTTATTTCTTTTACTTTGAACAATATGGCTTTCAGTTAAAAAAAAAAAACACAAAATTGAATTTCTCAGAAAATGTGAACATTACATGAGACCAATTGAAAAAACAAAAAATTATACATATAAGTTCAACCTTTTAGAAGTATGTCCATATACCAAATCTCCTCTATATCACAAGTTCCATTTTTTCAATTGAGCTACAAACTAAAACATTTCAATAACATTTTAATTTACATAGATGTATTTGTGGTCATAATTTAAGGAAAATTTGTATTTAAAAGCATTTAATAGAGAGCTGTTCATGCTCTCTGTTTAAATAAAATAACTTTTTTTTTTTTCACAGCCCAGAAGAGAGACTACTCCCCCACTTCTTGTGGTTCAGAGGGCAGGACTGAGAGCAATGAGCCACCAGTGGTATGTACATTAAACTTGTACTATTATATAATTAAGTATTAACTGTGTGTCCTAATTTTTTTAATTTTTTTTTATTTTTTTATTTTGTTTATTGTTTTTTAATTTGTTACTTCACATCTAGATATTTATCCGACGGAGCAGCAGTCCAGCTGAGACAGAGTCAAGCACTGACGGACCCCCAACCTACACAAGACACAAACTTCGAGATAAAAGTGAGAAATTACCTACCGGTTGTGTAATTTGAATTACCTATGTGTTAGCTGTTTAGCTCCAGTTGATTATACGTGTCCATAAAGAGCATGTTTTCTAAAAATTACATTGTGCTCGCATGACTCGACTATAAAAAGCACATCTTCTCTTCTTTAAACAGGTGAAAGTGTGAGTAGCGAGACATCCAACGGTTACCTCAATGAGGCTGAAGTTACGTGGCAAACATTTGATGAGGAGGCCGACACTCAGTCCACGCAGTCGGCTCACATGGACGTTACGGCTGACCCCCAGAACCAAGGGAGTTTGCTGCTCAGCCACAATGATGCTCTGGCAGGTAAGGCCAGGGAAAGGCAGTTAACACATACTCCTGAAGATTAAAAATGTTCACTTTAGATGTCAGATTTTAACGATGTGAAATATTAAATAACAGAAACACAGGATAGCTTTACATTAAAAGCTTAGGTGTACCTCACTGTACCTAAGCTTGAGTCCGTTTCCAAGTACTTGTAGGTCTTCATCTTGGTCAGATTTTTATTTTACTCCTAACATTGTTTTGGGAGAAAATGTGTTGTTGTCTCCTCACATCCCACCGTTTGAGTTTAATTTTTCTGTTCCTTGTATTGTGATCCGTGTGTCTTTGTGCTCCCTCAACCTCAAAGCCAGTTTTTATCCCTTTTCCATTGTTGTTTTTAGGTCCTGAGTGTGCTCTCCTTCCCCACTTTGCTCCTCCCTACCACCACAATTACCACTACCCCCAGAACCCCCCCTCTTCACCAGCCCTGCTGGTGCACACAGAGTGCCCGCGGGACTGTCCCCTGGATGACACCATGCATCAGTCTGTCTTGCACATGCCACACCACTTGGGTACCGCTGCCTAGCTGTTATTTATCAATCAAAGATACCATTAACTTTTCTTCTACTTTTTCCACCTGGTTCTTGCATCAACAAATTCTGTTTCATGTGTCTATTTTCATCCTCCCTCAGCTGAGATGGATCTTCTTTTCTTAATCACAGTGACTTGCAAAATAATAAACATGTTCAAATTCTGCCAAGGTACAACCAGAATTTAAGTGTAATTGATTTATTATTTTTTTTTGTGATAGACCAATACAAACAATACAAATCTGGAAAGTTCTTTGTACTTAGAACATCTGCATTTCTTTCTCATCTGGGTAGATCAAAACTTCTGCTTGTTTGCTGTCTTCTACATCACTTCTGTCAGACTGAAAACAGGACTGCTAAGACTTTCTTTCAACAATTGCGTTCTACTTTCAATTTTTAATAAAGCCAGATTTATAAAGCTCATAAAGAGAAGTGGCTGTTTTGAAAGTTTGGGATCACTGCAGCTCCTCCAAAGTTACTGCGGGCTTTTTGGCTGCTTGTTATTAATTCCCTCTACAGTTCAGCTCATTTTTCAGATTTGTATTCGTATTAAAGTTTGAAAAATAGTTTTTCTTCCACTTGAAGATAATACAGTACTTAACGTAATATTTCACATAGAACCCAGATGCATTGAACCTTTCAGTTGTAACACGACACATTGTGAAAAAGGTTCATTAGTATGAGCACTTTTGCAAGGCATTATAGCGACATCTTTCAGTTTGGTACTCATTTTGTTCCTTTTGACATTGATAGATATGCACATACTGAGCATCAAATTATTTTTCCCTTTTTTTTTATTACATTATATTCAGACCTTTGAACTGAATATAATTTAAATGTTTTTTGGGGAACATTTTCTTTTCTCAACAAAGATATCACAACTTAACAAGAAAGTCCATTCCTGGCCTCTGCTCCCTCTTACCTGCATTTCTATTTCTGCCCACTCGGTGGCACTGTTCTCCCATACTTCAATGAGATGATGCATGTGTTGTGTGCCTTTTTCCCCAAAGTATTGAGGCCTATTATTCATGTACAGCTAAATGGTACAGGTCGAATGCATTTGGGACAAAAGCACAGATACTTTGTGAGATTCAGTCAACAGTTGCTAAATAAGTTTTGAATTTTGTCTTTTCATTCCTGTCTTCAAGTATTTAGAATTATTTCAGAAAATTATTCAGCACATGTTGACTAAATCCAATTTCCTTACAAATAAATTTTGCCTTGTTTTGTAATCTGTATTGCATTCAAACAAAAACTGTCTCTGATCCTGCAGACAGCAGTGAGTGTCTTGCCGATGATGTCAGTATCATCGCTGGAGGGACGCTGACTGGTTGGCATCCTGATTCAGCTTTTGTCCTGTGGAGAAGGATTTTGGGCATTTTGGGAGATGTCAATAACATACGATGCCCTAAGATTCATGCCAAGGTTTTCTCCTATCTCTATGATCTCTGGCACAAGCTGGCCAAGGTAAAAAAAAAAAAAAAAAAACAGACCACACTGCCATTAATGTCACTAAGATTTCACAACTCTTATTTTGAAAATATAATGTTCTTTAAACAGTCATGCAAAAATGCATTGATGAAGATGTGGTGATTTCATTTAAATGTGCGATCACAGATCCGGGACAATCTTGGGATCAGCGTGGATAACCAGTCCTCTCCTCCCCAGCCTGTGTTCATCCCTCCTCTTCGAATGCTATCATCATGGCTCTTCAGGGTAGGAACAAGGCATGGACACAACAAACGGCATGCAGGGCATTTGCATGCGTCGTATAAGTAATGATACCAGCAACATCTTATCTTGTATGAAATTCAGACATCTTCTCCTGGGTTGTTTCAAAATGTTACTGCTTTTTTATTTGAGAAGAAGATCACATAAGAAGTAAAGAGGGCTAAAAATGCGAGAGAAATTTGAATACATTTCAAAACCATGTGTACAGTGAAAACCTTATGTTGATTTATGACATAAAGTCCTAATAACATACATTAAAATTAGTTCTTAGGCTTTGCACTAAGCTCCAGTGTTGCAGATAATTATATTTTTAACATAGAAGAAAGTGTTTGATAATGATTAACCTCTAATATGTAAATATTCCACATTATGTTATTTTACAGTAGCATCATTTGATCATCCCACGTCATATTTCTTCTCTAAAATGACATTAACAATAGTATTGCAGAACAATTACAACTGATTTACTATCATTTAAATTTTTATTATTATTCTTATATAGTTTTAATGTGGCAGAAGCAACATGTCCTTGATTAGAGCAAATTGTTTATTTTTAAATCGTATTCACTTAATTCCCCAAAACAGCATGTCATATATGTAAAAATTATAGTTTGCACCTTCTCTCTTGATTGTTTAAGTTTTAAGCAGTTAGAAAAACCTAATGCAGATTTAAGATGACAAAAACTCTGGCCCCCTAACGCATTATACAGCTCGTCATAAAATTGCTGACCACTCTGCTTTTCTGTTGTCCACAGGCAACCATGCTCCAAGCAGAATACAAGGCTGGCAAACTGCAGGCATACAAGCTCATCTGTGAGATGATGACCAGACAGCAAGACGTTCTCCCCAACAGTGACTTCCTGGTGCACCTGTACCACGTCATGCACAAGGGCTTCACCAGCGATGACCAGGTACAACCAGCAGATGGCTCTTTACTCATCATCAGGTTTCTTCTTAAATAAAAGATGTTCTTTCATCACCCGTAGATGGCGCGTCAAACTAAGATGCGCTCAAGAACTTTCTCAGAATTAGCTAATTTCAGTTTACTTTTTAATGTGTTTGCAATTTTCATTTTTATTCAGCTAGTTTCTGAGACATTTCCTGTGCCCCTCATATGTCAACTTTGAAATAAGCATGGTCAAATTAAAGGTAGGATAGACTCAACCTAGGTAAAACCATAAACTATAAATACACTACAGTTTTAAAATAGAGGCTCATTCTGCCTGCCAACCGGTGGTGTTGAGAAGCACTGCTGTGTTTTGGCATCTTCCTCCTTTTCTCGCCACACCCTTTCTTGTATTCAAATCTGGCGTAGCTCCTTTGGTCCTAGACAAAGATGAGTGGAGATGAATAGAGTTCCCCAAAACAAAGAGATGGGGATAAAAAAGTCTGGGTGAGCAAGGGGTGTTTTGGATACAAATGTGTGTGTGAATATATATGCATATATGCCCTCTTGGCTGGGTTTCTATTGCGCCTTGGCAGTGCGACAAGCTTATTAGAATGTTTTCCATGTCGTTAAATAATGTTTTGAGCCCCTGCCGTGTATACGTGATTAATTAAGGATTGACGTCTGTCGCGCTCCGTTAGACTGACACGTCGGCCGGGGGCCCAGAGTTAGAGCGGCCCGGCCTGCCTGTGTGTGTGAAGGAGCGGGAGGGGAGCCTGGGGAACGCAGTGGAGAGTAGAGCAATGAGGGGGGCTCGGCGCACTGCGAGACCAGGCAGCATTCTCCAGCTTTTGTTGTGGCTCTGTATAATGCGTTAGGGGGCCAGAGCCAGGCTGGCCACTGAAGCATGCTCAAATTGGCCAGTGAAAAGAGTCCTCACGCCACACAATAGAGGACAGCCGCACGCCTGCTTAACATAAGAAAGTGGCTCTTATTCTCCCCCACCTCCTTCCTTTTTGCCTCCACCCCCAAGCCCCTCTGCAACCCAAAAAAAAACCCAAACATTTATTTATTTATTTTATTTTTTTTACAAAAACAACCCTTTCAAATCAAACAAGTTAATTTTATAACACATATGTTTACACATAACCTAAGTAACTAAAGTTGTCATCTGTTGAAACAAACTGAGCAAGAGATCCCAAATATTTCCATGTCCTTATTTCTGCCTAAAGTTGACAGTTTACCTAAATAGTCTTTTTTGTGGTTAATTTTTGTTTAAGTCAGCCACTCTTCTGTTAGTAGGATTCTTCCTCCAACTGACAGAGTGCCAAGGTCAGAGCTATTGTCCTGGTTCCTTGTCACTTACTGGTCACTGGTCTCAATGGCAAGATGGCAGCACAATAGCAGTAATCGATCAATAACAGTCTTTCTAAAAGCTAGGCAATCTAGAGTTAAATGGTTATCAACGTATTTTTGTGACATTTAGTTATTGAAACAACAGGAGTGTCCCAGATCAGGACTCTTTATCCTCAATACTGATCCAGGCCATTTGGGTCCAGTGCCTAATTAAAATTAATAGAATCAGTTCCACGTAAGTGATTGGAAACCTGTTTAACTTCAAAAAGCTGAAAAATAACAATACATTTCATCAGTATCACACTTCACTTCAATAATGGCATGCAGCATGCCACAGTCTCTCCTATTCTTTTTTTTTCCTGACAATAACAGATATTTTGCCACAACCGAGGTTTATGCATTACAGCCTTAGTATGCTACTCCAAAACACATATTCTAAAACATGCATAACGCTTAAGTACAAACTTATTTATATAGCTGATAGATTAGAAACTGTTCTTTTGATTTGACCAACATGTATGTTAAAGAGGAGAATAGCTAGATTCCAGATTTGAATCTGTGGATGGAGCTAAAGATTAGGATGATGGCAAATAGGCTTTCTAATTTCAAAGATTTGGAGCTTGTTGTATAAAGTGCTTTTCCCTGCAGTTGCTGATGTAATGTTTAATCCTTGGTTTACATCTGTCAGTATGAATGAACATTTAACACATTAATCAATAACTGCGTCACGAAGAGGAAAAAAAAACATCAGTCGCACTCAACTTCTGTTGTTGCTTAGTGTTTGCATCTTTACTCTAGGTTTTTGACATACTTCATTAATAATTAAACTATTAATGAGCGATTCAACTGAATCATATGCAGACAAATATTACAGAAGCATCTCCATACCTCAGAAACTGGATGCTTTATTGTGAACATCAGGAAAATTACTTTGTGTGTATGTGCCTGTTGCTCTTTCTCACCTTGTGCAGCCCACTTCTCTAACAAATATTCAGAAGTGCTGTTTTTGGGTTATCACTTTCTGTCAAAAGCTGAAGATTGGAAACAAACATTAATTCCTTATATAAAATGTTCACCTCTAAAAGTATCTCCTGGTCATTCATTTATTAGAAATAAACAACCACATTAAATATATAATGTTAATTACGAAAATTTATCATCCTACTCAGATTCCCAGGATTGTGTTTTTGAATTTAAAGAATCTGTTTAGATTCTTAAATTGCAGGACGTTTTATATGATGACACATTTAGATAGTTAAATTGGACTAACTATATTTACCTCCTGGACTAAATCATTTTAAGCTTTGCAAATCATTTTATGCGAATAGGATTAGTAATAGTCAGGATCCTTACATTTCACAGATTAAATGTTCTGGAGGTGACACTTGTCGTGTTTAATACAACAAAGATCACAATGAGAAAGTCATTTATAATTATCTTATTTGGTTGTGATATGGATAAGTATGGCAACTTGCCTTTTTACTTACCCATAACCAGCTTTCTTCCTGCTTCTTCATTATGATTGGCCCTCGAACACAACCTGTTTTACATTTTTTACTATAAATGTCTGTGTAAGAAGGTAAACAAAAACAATTAATTTGGCCTACAAACTAAACTACATGAAGAAGAATAAATTTTTGCAGCTCATTCACTCATAAATAGGCTCTGATTTGGTAAAAAAAAAAAAAAGTGCATCCCACAACAGTCATCAATTGCAGAGTTTAGAAAACTTTACCAATTAATTAAAAATTCAATTATTGGGACCTGAAGCACTCGTGAAGCAACTAGACACATTTCTAAGACTTTCTGCAAGGTTTAAAAAGTTGGTCTCAAAATTTGTAAATATGTTCAGATTTTATTAAATTGGTAAATTTCACAAAGGTTCGTATAAATTTTGTACATGTCTAGTTTTTTCACCCATTTGTGTGATATTTATGTAAATTTGATATAATAAATTCAGAAACATATTTCCATCAGTTTACTGTTCTGTGTGGCTAAGAAATTGGGGTTAAAAGTTCATAAAAGTCTGATTAGGACACCAAGTAGTCATGTCAGAGGTAAACGTTAGATTACTTTAACACAATTAAATGACACACCAGGGCTGATGCACACCTTGACAAGTCCACAAATATTTTTTATATATATTTTTGGTGTTTGTTTTTGACTTATTTGTTACTGAATAAGTGAGACATTTCATTGAGCAAATAACGTTTAAAACTAACTTGCTTATTTTTCATAACTGAAGTTTATCAAAACCTTTAAATTGCTTTATATATATGTATATATATATTTTTTTTTCAGCTAAGATTAATTCAAACTTTTTCACAAAATCTTCTGTCAATCTCTGAACTGTGAACTCTGTTGATATTTCTTTATAAAATTTTTGAAATCAAATGTTTCCTCTTATAATTGTGAAGGTTTTTTGATACTTTATGGTGTGATAAAATGCCAGAATGAACCCTGTCACCCTGGGCCAGGCGCAGTGCATTCTTTCCTGAGGATGAGGCCACATTTATAGGAAAAAAAAATCCTGTGGTAATTCTGTTCAGTGTTGACGTTAATGCACCTTTTGTTGATGCAGTCGGCCATCCCTACTGCCAACACAGCTCCACTTTCCTCAAAGCTGATTTCTTTACTCACACCTGAAATCAGGTCCCCTCTGCTCACACACACAATCGAAAGCACTTTGCCGTCTGCATTTGTAGCTTCCTCTAAAATGCTTATTTCAGGCAATCAAGAAACAGTTTGTTGCCTGCTAATTACCTCTGACTGCACTGCACATTATGCTTCAGAGGTCAATTACCAACAAAATGAGGGTAAAATTGGCCCCTCAGCTCTAAAGCTCTTCCCACCAATTTTCCGCATGCAGCACTGATGTTGGTTTGACTTCCTGCTTTTTATGTCTGTGTTTATTCTGTTTTCCTTTTGTTCACCTGCATAGCTGTTTACTGAGGGTTTGGGGTTACTTATGTCACAAATACATAGGTGGCACAGTGTGTTTGTGTGTCTCTGATGCTGCAATTGTATGCATGTGTTTTGTTAAGGTGGCCCTCGGCTCAGGTAAAAACAGGCTAATGTTTGAACTGTCGGATTTGCTCAGGTTTATAGCCATGAAGGCAGGTGTTTCTGAGCTGGACCTTGGCTTTGTACACACATATTCGCAGATAAGAGAGAGTAATTTTGCTCTTGTTGAGAAGCAAATTCTTATACCATTTTGTGTATATGTTGTGTATATACAAGTATTTTCAGTTTGGTGTAAAACCTTCAACATCTGAATGGCCTTTGTATGTGCGGTTGGTTTTATACTGTACACATTTAAGAGGTTTGTGTGTAACCCTCTGCTGCACAGCATATGTTGGTGTTGAAAGAGTACCCATCTGCCACTGAGCCGCTGTACCGCCTCAAAACAATACCTTGTCTCTGGCTTTAATTACAGGTTTGCTGGTGTGTGTACCTACATATGACTCATGAAAGTTGAAGTCTTTTGTCCTCCCTCTTATCCACTGTGAACAATCCATCTGCTGCCTCTCGTCTGTCTTTCTTTCCCCCCCTTCCGTATTGTCTTTTACTCTTGAATCTTTAACTTTAATCGTCTTGCTCTAAATGACCAGCCCACCATTTGTAGTGAGAAGCTTTCACCATGTTGCGTCTTTTCATCTGTTAAGGAAAGATTAGTTCCTCTTTCTTCAAAACTTGGGGCCTGCAGAAAACTTAAATCTAGATTGGTAAAATTGTCAGTTTGTTCCAAGATCATGGTCAAAAATCTGTCACTATAAAATTTAAATAGTATTATTCATTTGTTTGTGTCCATTCACTTCTTTAGGACGTTTTGAATACCATCGTCCGCTCCTGCTCGCCCCGCTTCTTCTTCCTCGGTCTACCAGGTTTCACAATGCTGCTTGGAGATTTTATCACAGCTGCTGCCCGTGTTCTTTCTTCTGACTCCAAAGAGGTACAAATAAGTTTTACATTCAGATTTACTTTGAGTATCAGTCTGGAATTAATGGTGCACCAAAATATGGATTCAATCAAAGTTCTTACACACATCTATGTATATAAATTGCATCTGAAAGTCAATAATTGTCTTTATCTCTAGTGTCCAAAGTTGGGATAAGTGAAATATCAAGAGTTGGGTCTTGAGATCCTATTTTTGAAATAGAAAAGCATAATAGCGAGAGCTTATGTCGATTGTCAATAGTACAACTGGTAAAAATCTAGATTTTGAAAAAAATATTTGAAAACCGGTTTCCATTTGATTAACTAATTTATCAATATATATTTTTTAATAATAAGTTAAATGATATATGTGAGCCCTCATATATGTGAGACTCATACAAGTATATATATATATATATATATATATATATATATATATATATATATATATATATATATATATATATATATATATATATACAGAATGTTTTGACACAAAATATCTTTTTTCTTTTGTCTTGCAATTTTCAGAAAAATAAAAGGGGAATTTTTGCAACCGAGAAATGGGGGGAAAAAAATAAAAGACAAAACATTTTTAAAGATTTTTTATGCACACCATGTATACTTTTAGCAATATGCACTCAACAAATGTAATTTTTTTTCTTTTCCAAATTTGTGAATGCAGCTTGTATTAAATTGTATTCAATTGTCTGGAAGTTATGCTAATCCTACTGTAGATTATTATTTTTATCTATGATGTGACGTTTTAAAATTTATTTACATTTATGGTGTACTAGTTTAGTTCTTGCACTGTAGATTATTTACAGAGCAGGACTGTAATCCATAAACATAAACCACAACATGCTTGAGTAAAATATTCTATAGCTCCAGAAATTTCACCCTCTGAGCTATCCTCATTTTTCTCTGGAAAGGGTATTTAGTTTAAATAATATAATTTGCCCTACTAGTAAATATGCTTTGGTCTTCTGATGATCTACTGGAGATTTCTTTGTTGGATAAACATTCCTCCCCCCAACTGCCACATACATGCATCAGAGCAAGACTGTATTGAAAATTAAAAACTCATTGCAGTTAACGGCTGCGCTTTATTTCATGATTTTGTTTTTCACTAATTAACATCATAAACCAAATTTGGCCACATTGTTTTATAACTAATTCAAATTGGAATAAGTAGGGCCTAATGTTGTTTTGCTGTATGGTTTGATTGTGTTGATTTAATTTTCTATATTTCTGAATGTGAATTGGAATTCAGTGTCCGAATTAAATGAGATCAAGGTTAATGTTGAATGCTAGACAGACCACATTCAACTCACTCTTTCAATGAGCTGTTCAAGAAAAATAACAGATCTGAGGTGAATGGATTATTGCTTTTTATTAATTGAACACATTTTGAAAGTGTGTAAATTGGTTGATTCCCTTTACACACTGTTTTTACTGGTTTTGTCTTTTTTTTTTTCTTCTTTTTTTCCAAATCTACTGGTAGCGTAAAAAAAAAAAAAGCATTTAGGGGGAGATATAAGAAATGCTTGAAATGTCTGTCATTTGTATGACTCGGACAAAACTGAAGAATGTAATTTCGGAAAAACCTTCCAGCATTCTTCTTATTGTGCCTCAATGTTGGAGTGAGCAACAATGGCAGAATTTATAACCATAAATTACTTTCCTGTGATTTACTAAAAAAATGGAACAAGGTTGTTCTACTGTCTTTGGAAACTAAATCAAAATGTAAAAAAATCTTAGCTCATGATGACTGTATTTGTGACAAAAACTGTACTTTATTAGAAACTGAACAAATGCTTCTGATTAATGATACATTGTTAATAAAATAAATGACTAAGCACACATGGTTGTTATATTCTCCATGGTAAACTCACCCGCTATTATGTTTAATGGTCCATGAGATAATGTACACCATTTTTATTACTTCAAACAGAGCTAGGAAAGTCATGTGATGTTGTGTAAACAGACATGATATAATTTCTGACAATATTTGAAACAATTATCAGAAAAGGTTGCAAAAACAATACTGTCCTGCAGAAATATTGAGATACTTGAAACTATATTGATGTTCCTAAATCAGCCTCTGCTGTCAAACCCCATGTAAATACTAATTTTTGTAACTTTTCAATGAGCAATCGGTTACATTGAAAGGTAATCCAAGGATATTTCTTTATATTTCTCAAGATTAGTAATAATTTTGAGAAATATTACTAATTTATATGATATTTATAACTTTGAGTCAGGGAGTCAGTGGTGTGACGAATGCTATTATTAAACCAACATCTATTTATACTATGGAAATAATAAGCTTACAATACACAAAAACAAACCAATATAAAGACTAACAAAGAAATAAAAGCAAGTAAATACTAAACTAGGAATTTAATTTTGAAAATAACACAAATCAAACTGGTTAGTGCTGCACAACATAATGAAGCACAACTATATTTATATATCAGTGTGTATGCAATATTACAGTCATAAATGACTATTTGGCGGCAATACTTGGTAGGAAATAATATTCTTTTCAAGATCAAAATGCTCATGGAGAGTGGTGGTGGTATTTTGTAATTGTAAAGGTAGAAAATTTAAAGTTAATAATATTATCTTAATTTACATATTTTTGATGCCATGTAGTTCAATCTCTTAGAAGTCTAGAATGAGGAGATTTTTGGAATCTCAGTTCTATATTTTAATACCCACAATAATGTAAGAAAAAACACCTTTATTAGCCCCAAAACTCTTTTTGCATTTCTGCTCTTGTGGCCGCAAGCGCCATCTCTCTTGGCTTCAGAGGTGGTCAAGTCTTCGGTCAACCACTGTTTGCTGCAAAGCAGTCAGATGTTCTGCCTTTTCTCGCTCTGGGCTTTCAGATGTCTTTGAATCACTGTTGGGATGGGGGAAAGAATCAAAAGAAAACCCAAGTGTCACTGAGTATATGTCCAATACATAAGAAACCCTTGTTATTACAAAACAGATTAAATACAATGTATAAGAATGATAACATAATTTATCTCAACCAGATCTTAAAATTGACAAGAAAGTGGACTCTTTAAATTCTTCAAGTCTTCTCAAGCAATAGTTGTTGCATTGGATAGAGCAACCAGTCAGAAGTGAAGTGTGGGTCAGAACTACATCACACTAAAGTAAGACGTAATTTTTGCCTAATCCACTGATGTCTATGTGGATTAGGGTTAGTATGGTAGAGATATTGAATTGTTTTTCCCAATGTAAAAAATTGTCCTGTTTTCTAGAAATGTGTTGCATTCATGTTGTAAGTTTTCACTTGATGTTTGTTCATTTCTGCCAGGCTCCAAGGATGGAGGCTCAGACAATCTTGGGCTCTCTTGTGTGTTTCCCCAACCTGTACCTCCAGATTCCTGTTCTGCATTCTGTGCCTGGCTCTAATGACATCAGTGTCAGCAATGAGGATATCAAAGTGAGTAATCGATGTGGTGCAGCATGGTGAAAACAGTGATCAGTGTAGGTTGCAGTAATTGATTAGTCATTTTCTGCATTAATTAATTTAGCTGTATCTTGGATTTTAACAAACATGAATCTAGAGAGATTCTTGACAATTAAATTTCATGAAGTCAGACATTAAAAAAACATACTGTATTTATATGTGCAAACTATTAACTCGTGTTATTTCTTTAAACTGTGCTACAAAATAGACTTTATCACATTTTAAAAGGATTTTACATTTGCTTCTGTTTTTTTGAGGGGTAGGTGAACTTGAAGTTGACTTACCCTTTCATTATAGTTTGGGGGAAGATTTTGGGACCAATTCCCAACCTTTATAAAGTTCTAAGCCGCTGATTTTTAAGTCAATAGGACTGAAAGTTTTGCAGTGTAACAAACCTCTGTGAAATCATAACCTCGTCCCCAGACAATTTTTGAAAAATGCAATCTGTGTGCAGTGCCAGGGGACACTGAGGGGTAAGTGTGGGAAATGAGCTGAGGGGGTTTTGATCAGGAAGAGGAAAACACTGTCGCCAACTTATGGCCTTTGTCATTACAGTCGATGACTTTTCAGACACACCCATCGACTGCTTTCCAAAAACACTACTAGCAACAAATTTGATGACATTTTTGTTATCGAAGACTTTGGCGACATGTAAAACACCAATTTCAGTGCTGCCCTGAAATCCTCCCGCATCCTAAGTACTGAAGTGAATCTCTCACAGTCATTCTTCAGCGAACCGCCTGCAGTCAGAGCAGAGAGATCACTCAGTGTCCACAATGCAAATGAAACAAACGCGCACAAAGCCAAAGAACTCCACAGATCAATACTCACTATTCTAAGTCCTTCCTGAAAAAGATGGTTTTATGCCTGAAATTGCCACAAAAATTTCACAGTTTGCACAGAAGCCTAAAGTTTGCAATTTATGCAAGTTACCTCTTAAAAAATGTATTTGTGGTTTAATTCTGTAGATTAGTTAAGTAAATGCCTTTGAAATTATTTGAAAATTCATTGTGAAATTATTCTGTTTGGTTTTCTGCTCAGAATGATCTGGTTAAGAATCTTCTGGGTGCAGCCACAAAAGAATATTGTGAAGGAGCAAGGTAATGATCATCTGTGCTGGTCTCACTATTTTACTTTAAAGGATTACTGGTAGTTTTTGTTTGTTAGTTTCATAAATAGTCATTATTTTCTACATGTCTTTGTAGGTTTATCTCAATAAATCAGAATGCTATAGAAACATGTATAGATTTTTGTCATTCAATTTAAAGAGTAAAGCACAACATCATAAAATATTAAGATACATTAATTACTCACAGAGTGACTTAAAACATTTATTTCTATTAATAATAATTCCCTGCAGCTAATGACAATGTGACAAATTCTGTTTCATTTTGTTTCTGTATTCAAACTGAAAAGAGAAATATTTTCTCACTGTAGAAATACTTTATTTACAGATTTGTAAAAAAATAACCTTGTTTCTTCTTAATTAGCATGTGTCATGTTCTGATTATGCCATTCAGGTGCATTGCTGTATGCAGCCTGGGCCTGTGGGTGTGTGAAGAGCTCACGCAAAAGAACATTCACCACCAGGTTAAAGATGCCATCAATGTTCTGGGAGTAACACTAAAGGTTTGTAACTTTAGAAATAAGTTATGTTAGCAAATTGTTACGCAGAAAGCTTCACTTTTTAAAATTGCTTTCATCATTTGCAATTTAATGTGTCATAGTTCTAGGGAAAAAAAAACATAATCAATACAATTATTGTGTCTTAAATAAATATGAACATAATAGCTGTTGTTATTTTACAATCTCTATTGGGGCTTGGCTTTTACAAAAAATGAGAGTTGATTGCATTAAAGGACTGTGGAACAATTTAGACATAGTGGAAGAGTGAGGAAAAAGTGTTAGAATAAAACATGTCCGTGATGTGATGTGACTCATAGGTATATTTTATAAGAACCCTCTTTTCTCCCTGAGTGAAGAGATGCAGAGAACCAGAGGAGGCTGCCCCTTTTTTTCCCCCTCATGGAAAAGGACTTTGGGCGGTGGCGTAATTTCCAGGCTGCTCGCTCTCGGTAGATGTGGGCCAATTTAAGCAGCTACATCTCCCAGCTTCCTGCTCAAGCACCCCCTGCCTCCCCCACCCCACCCCTTCTCTAATGGAGCAGTAATCACTCCCCTGTACAACTTGACACACAGACTCAACCAGCCCCAAAATAGAGGGTATAGGCTGGGTGGGGGATCTAGGGGAAAGAGTGGCACTGAGAGTCTCTTTTCTAAAAGCAGGTGCTGAACTCTCAGGGCCCCTTTTTGTGTTTGGCCATTTCTGTACTCCCCACATTGTCTGCCCTTGTTACACGTTGAGAGGCATTCAGCTGGAAGAAATGGGAAATTCTATTTCTCCACAAAGAATTTCAAATCACTGAAGAAATCCACATTTGAAGGAAAATTGTCAACAGTTCAATTCTTTCCTCCGATGAGTCTGGAGAAAATGAGGCAGGGTGGTGAAGTGAAATGAAATTATGCTGATAATCTGCACAGTAAGTGAAAAACTAAATTTAAGGAGAATTACGGAGAATCTTGCCCCCGAAAGTGCGTCTTTCACCAAAACTTTAATTCACCATCTTCAATAAGCCTTGGCTTCCTGCTTCTGTAAGATTCAGGTATTTGAGTGTGACCTGCTGTAACAAGTAGCTGAAAATTAACTTCACAATGATCATCACAGAAGGTCAACTTTTTGGTAAGTTTGAAACACTTAACAGCTTTAAAGAATACTGGTCTGTCAATAGTCGTTTTGCATAGAAACACACGTCAAAGATAAAAAGGGGACATTTTCAGCACTCTTCCTTTACATGGCAATCTAGCTCCCTGCAGTTTTTGTTCAGATTGTTGAGCTGATCAGAAGCACATGCACAGAAAAAAGTAAACATTAATTACTTCTCTACTGACTTTTAAAGTGAACAATTGTTAGTATTTGCCCTTGTTCCCTCGTCTTAAAGTAGTTTAGAAACTCCACAATTCATCCTCTGAGACACAGATGAGTAAAATATTCTCTTGTCACGACTTTTGATGATTAAACTCCTAGGTAGTCTTTTTGTCTGTGATGAGTTTGTCTTTATCTCTCAGTCTAAGGATTTTTGTATTGATCTTCTGATAAAGTGTGATCACAATTAGTCTGTCTGATGGTGCTTTGAATGCACCACACTCAGTTTCCTCCCAACACTTTCCTTCCTTGTAAATTATCAATCTGTTCATGATATGACACTGAGAAAGCGCCTGGCTTGACTTAAAGCAACCAGCTGACTTCTTTTACTTTACTGTTGTTCCGACAGCACGTTTCCTACATGCAGTAATCACAATTTGGCTGAAACATTGAGGTGAATTGATATATAAAATTGTCAGTTCATCTTGTACCTATATCACAAATTAACGTTTCGTTTTTAGTGATTTATTTACAAAACATAGAATTTAGTATAACATGTTTAGTATATGTTAGTATAACATATACATGCATGTTAGTATATGTATTGTTTATGTATTGTATACTAACCATACAGATCAAATGATGCTTGTTATGTAATGCAGTAGAAAGTGTTTAGGTTTAACACTTTCTACCGCCAGCAGTTTACCTTTTCTTCATCCAACAGTTGCACTGATCTAGAATCAGGAAAAGGGCAACTAGTACCTCTGCAGATCCCACACATCATGGACACAAACTGTTATACTTTCAGGTCATGCTACTAATTTCAGCTACCTTAGAGTCACTTTCCTCCTGATGAACACAATAAATATTCTTCAGCCAGAGTAGTCAGCTGTCCAGTTTTGAAGCAAAATAAGGATATTGCATGACTAGTAAAGTTGATTCTGATTCTCAAAACATGTGACATTTTTACCTTTTACCTTATTACCTTTTTTTTTCTTTACCTTTTTTCTGCTTGCTCTATTAACTACTCATTATCTGGGCTCTTTCTTTAGTTTGGAAACAAAGTAGTGGCGCAAGTCGCCTGTGACATGTTTCAACTGCTGATTTCTCACTGGGAACATCTCCAGCGGCTGGATCCAACTCTTCCCAAGAAGATAATTGAGGTATCACTCATGCGCATATGGTATAATGGATGAAAATTTCTATTGTTTTAAAAGGAAGTGGTGGGTCAGTCATTTTTACTTTTACATGTAAATACTCCAAATTCAATAATTTCACATTTATTTTCCTGTACAAGTATGGCTCTGCGTATGAATAGGAGAGCATAACAATAGATGCGTCATCCAATTATTTTTCACCTTGTTTTGTCCCAACACAGATCTTTGTGGCTACAATAGCCTTTTTGTTGCCAAGCGCAGAGCACTCGACAGTGGAAGCAGACAAAAAGGTACATCTATAGATCTAAAGGCCCTTGATCTATCATGTCGGAATGGTGCATTTGCAGAGGAATGTTTCCACTGAAGTGATTTGTTATCCTTTTTTTCTCTACTTTCATCTCTCTAAGGCTTTCCTATCACATTTTTTGTTGTTATGCATTTACTATTGATGCTTGTACCTCTTAATATTTGTTTTACTAATCAACTTGAAAAATGCAATTAGTGTAAAAATTAGAATTACTATGAAGAAACATAAAAAATAATGGATTATCTGCGAAGATAGGCTGGATTTATGCACACGAGAAAAACTGTCTGCTTACAATGCTGTTTCCAAACATAGTAAAGGGAAGTTCAGTGGTAGAAAAAATGTGATACAAAAATTCCTCTGGACTTGGTAAAGCGCTCTACAAGCATACGACATTTACAAAAAGGTTCACAAGCAACAGAGATACACAATGCTTTGTGAGGATTGTGAAGCAACGTTACTTAGACGTGTTTTTCAGTGAGATACCTGGCTCTTACTGAGTCTTCATAAGTTACAAAAATAGGGGTGCACAGATAAGTCAGCCAGCTGATAAATCATACCAGATTGTCTTAATTTTTGTAGTGATTGGCTGATTTTATCTACCTCTGGAAAGGTCTAGAAATCAACTACAGTCCTCTTTTGCTCTGCTGTGTGAGAGAGCTCACCTCACTGTTGTCAGCTCAGCAAGTGGCACACACTGATGCTGTGTGAACACACACTACATCCTTTTACATGTACATTCTGTGAAGGTAATTTATGAAACAGTGTCACTGCTTTTAAATTGTTTTTCTATTGTTTTACACGTGTGTACATGTATTAATTGGTTTTATTCTGTAACTAGGTTGCTCTGTATTGCAGACTTCTGCCCAGGTCCTTCTTGAAAATGAGATCCAGATCTCAACGGGGTTTACCTGGTTAATAAAGGACAAAACAAATTTTTCAAAAATTGACATTCTTGCCATATTTAGCAAGATTTGAGACCAAAAAAATCTAAATCGGTCAAAGTCAGAATCGGCAGGTCAGGCTTACAATCAGTGCACCTCTACTGAAAAAGTTTTAGATTTTTTCAACAAGGTCTCCAAGTATAGAAAATAAAAAAGTATGGATAAATATATGATTATTCAGGATTCTTCCTTCAATTATCTCAAGGGAAAGAATTTCACTATGCTAAATTATTGCAGAAGACTTGACATAGTTATATTAATTTGATGTGCTTTATCTTTGAGTTTCCAAATCACACATTGAGTTTGATATTTTTTCCCCATCATTGTTTTGATTTTGCTTCACTGTCTGAATGCATTTATTTAGAAATCAAAGAAGGACATGTTATACTATCTGTTTTTGGTTTTAGACAGCTTTAACTTCAGGTTGAACTGGACCCATGGTTCTCAAAGAGTCTGAAATGTAGTTCTCTGTTTTAGGAATTTTTATTATCAAAAGTTCCAAAGTACAAATTGTGGTGTAAATAATCTATGTTTAGTCAAAAAATTGGTTCCAACCGTTGCATATTTTGAAATGAAATGGAGGTCATCAAGTGGGTGTAGAATCAAAAAAAGTGTTGGAAATTACTTGACAGCCCCTCCAAATCAGAGACCAATTTTAACAATTTCTTGTTTTTGCCATTTGTGGATACTACATGCAATAAGATCTTGACTATTCAAGTTGATTCACGGGTAATACTTGATACAAAAATGCTCTGCATGATTAGGATGGAAAACATCTAAAAAACAATCTAGAAAGTAAGATATGTAGAAAGTTAAACCTGTACCATAAAACCAATGCCTCTGAATTGATTTGTTTTTCTTTATTAGTCTAACATTCATGTTTTCAAAAGAGCTGGATTTATGCTTTCACTATGAGATTAACAAACACATGAAATTTATCACTGTCATTTTTGTTTTGAAAAGAATTCTGGAAAAAGCTAAACAAAAGCTTGACGTTCTAATATACTGAGATTCACTTGTAGATATGACTAAAAGATTATGTATCTGTTACTTTAAGATGATGGTTTCGCTGCTACTTTGCTTGCTGGACTGGTGTATGGCTGTTCCCATGAGTCTGCTGCTAGAACCCATCACCAAGTCGTCTTTGGAGCCCCACTCACCCAGCAAGGCCCCGCTTCTGGACTATATCTACAGGGTGAGTGTTTAAATCCAAATCTTAACATATCTTAATCTTAATATATATACACACACATTTCAAGCTCTATATTCTGGAAGATTCAGAACCTTCATTCACAGAGACAGCAGCCTTAACTATACTCCCTCCATCAGCACAATGCCACATGGGATTGTAGCTTTAATTAGACTCACCTCCACCATGACCTCATAAACATGCCTCACTTAACATTATGGTGGCATAACCATATAGAAGCGTCCATCGTAGCTGACACAAATGATTGAAATTTGTCATATGTAGAACACCTTTGCAAGTCCACTCTGATCTTGATTTGATTGCTTAAAACATGCAAAATATTCAACATTTAATCTACATATCCGTATTTATTCCTCTAACATTTTTTTATTTATGGTCTGACCCTGAGGATGAGGGCCAGGCTTTAGGCACAAATGAATGAGGTATTATTCATTCCCTCCTGTCTGGGCAGATGCGGTCAACGGCAGATCTTTGTAAGGATGTCACCCCTGATAAGAAATGGTCCAATTATTCAAACAGGACCTTTTGTCCAATTGATAAGCTCAGGCTCTAAACGCTTGTCCTGGAGATTTGAATGGAATATGTCTTAATATGAGAGAGACTGCAGCTGCTATGAAAGCAAATACAATTAGGCATGATTGGTCGTCCATCGGCACACAAAAGGCACGGTCCCTCTGGGTTTCCATCTGAGGTGTGACAATATTACTGCAATATCAAGACCAAAATCTCTTTACATTTCTATGGGCTCGTTGGCTTCTAATTATTCTGTTTACCAAGCAGAGAATAGCCTCGCTACTAGGAAACAAGTCCTTTTCTTCCCTGATTGGCTTGTGTTGGTAACAGGGAGTGTCATGCTCCTGTAATTACCAGTGTATATATTTTTCAAAACACAGCTTAAAAAGACACTGCTGGGAAAAAAGGGCAAAAGAAGTTGATTTTGGTGGATGCTCACGGCTTTAAAATGCAACATTGCTCCAGACCTCAGTGGTTCATTGGAGTTGTGCTCAAGCGTCTCCATCTGCTCTCTCTCTCTCTCCCTGCCTCAGCAGCCAGCTGCACCACCCTCTGTGTGTGTCTGCACACGTGTGTGTGTGTGTGTGTGTGTGTATGCATAAGGAGAAAGACAGCAAGAATATCATATCTGCATTTTTGTTTACATACATCTACTGCCTTGTTATTTGATGTGTGTGCATGTACATAGTACATCTCTGTGCAATATGTGCCCCTCTAACTGAGCTATGCTTGTTTATTCAGTGTTACCTTCCAGGAACTGTTGCTATGCGAGGTGCACTCACTTACTTGTCAGGCACAGCCGTGCCCCCCTCCCTCTTTTTTTTTTTTTTTACCTCTCCACTGAGGAAGCTCTTTGGGGCTTTGGTGTAGCAGCTGTTTGGTTCAGGTCTTTTCAGCATCAAGCCGCCAATCCCTCCCCCATGCACTCAGCTTGGTAGAAGCATCCACATACTGTCTACATTGCCCTACACAATACTGTTTCACATGGCAGGGCCAGACTGCCTCTCCAAGCGTCTCTCAGCCAAGTGTACTGAATGGGATTAGCTTTTTTTTTTTTTTTTTTTTTTTTTTTTGCATGGCTTTACTCAAGTTGTTCCAGTCTGAATAAGAGGCGCCCTCATCTACATACATTTAGCATATGTTTTGTGCCGTCTGAAAATTTTTTTATCTATCAGCAAATTTTACTCTATACAGGTGTTTGTGTGTGTATGTTTGTGGTGAGAGCAGAGCACAGGGATAATGTCTTAATTAAATCAAACAGTGTAAACCTGTCCAATGGCTGTAATCAACTGCCCCAGTGCGCCTTATCTAGTGTTGCCAACGGATGCTCTGCCATCTGTTATGTAGATCGATACACTCACACATCAGAGGAGAAATGGATTAGTGGCAATAAAGACCCTCTTTTCTTCACTCCCCCGACCCCTCAACTCAGCCTCGCCTTATGATGTAAATAGACTGTATATTTGCACGCTCCAGGATCTTGTCTGTCTCAAACAGGTCCGCAGGAGCATCTCTGTGCAATGTCGTGCCAGGCACAGAGAGGTCTTACCTTTACACATTAGTGTTGAATTTAAGTCTTCAAAGTGAAGCGTGCTCTCACATCACAGAAAAACAAAACAAGCACAGTTCGTCTGGACATGATCAACCTGTTTTTTTTTTTTTTTCCTTCTTTCTCTTCCATCAATCAGGTGCTTCACTGCTGTGTGTCTGGCTCCAACCTGCACACCCAGCAGAGCCACTACCTGCTCAGTCTGTCGGACTTATCTAACGAATACGACCTGATGTTGGGTCAGGTGAAGAGCTTCGAGCCGCCGCCCTCCCAAATGACCACAGCAGATTTTGGCAACCTGTTGACAGTAGCTGAGGGTAAGGATGCAACAATATGGAACAGTATGATGTTTCCCACTGTAACATTGAGCAAACATCATACAGTTTCAGAGTAGAAAGTTAAACCTGTACCATAAAACCAATGCCTCTGGATTGATTTGTTTTTCTTTATTAGTCTAACATTCTTTCTAGTGGATATTGTGCTGTAACAAAACTACGAGCCTCATTATGCAGTCCTGGTGCTCTGTAAAAAAGATTTGATCCCATTCCGTTTTCCCCATACTCCATTTCAAAAAAGCTTTGATAATGACAAGCACAATCTGTGGAATGAAACATTATTATATTCAATATAATGTAACATAAAAGTAATTGGTCCTACAAATACAGAAGTCATCAGGTTAAGTATGCATTTTTTGTGAATATATCCAAGTTAAATAAATTGATGAAAATTGATGATCCCTTGTTCTGAGACTACAAACTATATCTAGGAACATGGTTGTCCACATTTTTTATATGAAAGAAGAAGGGAAAGGAACGGCCCAGCAATACTTTATCTTCCATAGAATTGAAGTTCTGGTTATGTTTGCATTAATTTGCAAAGAGTAAATGTCAGTGCAAAGGCATGTGTTGGTATGTAAAAACAGAAACATGGGAGAATGAAACTTCTCCCATTTAGTCATTCCTGTCTGCAGCAAATTAGCACGATGCCTGCCCTCTCTACTTCAACATTTCCCTTGGAAAGAAAAAGAACCAAAAATGGTTATAGGTAAAAGCAAACTCTAAGTAGTCCATCCATTTGGAGCCTCTCCATTAGATGTCAATATCTTATTGAAAGTATGAAAAGAAAATCAGCCATCAGAGGGAATGGAATTTTTGCATTAGTGCCGTGCCGTAAAGAGAAGACCCATTATGGGGTTTAGATAAAATTGTTGATTTTTTTTTTCTTTTTTTTTTCTCCCCTTTTTATGACCTTGTGATTCCATTAGGGAACGTAGTCCTCTCCCTACCCCCGGTCCTCAACTTATAAAAGTCATCAAAGCCCAGATACAGAGTGCCAATGTGAACTGAAACAATGTAAAACATATTCTAGAAATAAAAAGCTTTTGTCTGTAAAATTTCACCACACGTCTTGCGTTTTGGTGTACTGCAGCACGGAGTCTTGGTAGATATAACAAAACACTATCAAAAGGGCAAACCAAAGAGTGCCGGCCGGCCTAGTTACATTCATGCCCTCACCTCATATTGATCAAGTCACATCAAAGGGCCAGCCCATCTCTAATGCAGCTTGGCCTGCTCTCTGAAGAGCTTTCTCCACTTTGATGAGGGATGATGGTATTGATAGCACTGTCACAATGCAAAAGTACATCATCTTGTTTTTTCCCACATCACTGCAGAATAAAGTGCTGCATGCCTTTCACTTGGGGAGCAACAAACCCTGTGTATTTACATAAATGCAATCCACAGAGTGGAGTTCTATTCAGCGGCCTGTAAAGATGCTCGTTCTCATTAGCACCTGGCTGGTCTCAATGCTTATCTTTTGTAGAAAGACTCAATGGGCTTTTCAGACTTGTCTCTTATGATTAGATTCTACCTACTTAGAGGTGCGCTGGCCAAGCTATTGTGAGAAATAAATAAAACACCACCTTTTAGTGATCATAAATGAGATTTGGCTTTGTGTAAAAGGAGCTAATAGAGATGATGGCATGTCTGCACACAAATGTTGAGCTTTTTAAGTTCTGCATTGAATATAATATGTTATAAAGCAGCAAGTTTGGTTAGAGTTCTCTAATATGTTTTTCCTTCAGCAAGTATCTCAGTATTGTAATCCTTATCCTCCCCATACCCTTTTTTTCCCTCCTGTCAGAGAAGCGCCGTCGAAACATGGAGCTCATCCCTTTGACGGCGCGGATGGTCATGACTCATCTGGTGAACCATCTTGGCCACCATCCCCTCAGCGGTGGCCCAGCTCTCCTTCACAGCCTTGTGAGCGAAAACCACGATAACCCGTATGTGGAGTCGTCCGAGCTGTCCTCTGAGGTCTTTAAAAGCCCCAACCTGCAGCTGTTCGTCTTCAACGACAGCACACTGGTGTCCTACCTTCAGATCCCAGCCGAGCCGCCCACCACAGGTCAACCCCCGCACCCTTCCTCCCAAGTTCGCATTATCGTCAGAGACATTTCAGGAAAGTACTCTTGGGATGGAACGATTCTGTACTGCACTGCGCAGGAGGACCCTGATGTGGGTACATTCCATCCAGCTGACCCGCTTCTTTCAAAAACCTCTAATTCACACAGCAGAAACCAGCCAACCTCTCCGCTGAAAGGACATTACAAAACTCAGTGCTCCGTCTCGGACTCCCTCTCTAACTTCTGTGAAGAGGATGAGGTCGATGTGCTGGATAAGCTGTTGGAGGACCTTAGCCACAGCAGCCCAGAATGCCTTCCTCAGCCACGGCTCCAGCTCAATCAGCCAGCCCCGTCACCTCATGGCATGAACTTGGAACAAGAGAACGCTATACTGGAGGGCATTCTCCGTCAGACTCAGCAGGAGGAGGAGCAAGTCAGGAAGTGGGATGCCGATGTGAGCTTTCGGGCTGCCTGCCAGAGGGAACCCTCCCACCAGGAACCAAAAGCTCCTTTTTACTTTTGCAGACTGCTTCTTAATGATCTGGGCATGAACTCATGGGATCGCAGGTATTATCAAATGAAACCAGCTGCAGTTACATGTAGAGATGCGCTATTGAATTAAACAGAGGTCAATCAATTAGACAAATGTTTGATTAGGGTTAGGATAATTGGGAGTTGTCAGAACTAGTCAATAGTGTCCTAAACTTTATTTAAAATTATGCTGGCTGAGGCATTGTTTGCTAAAGTTATGTTTGCACATCGTCCCTCAGGATTTCTCAGTGAGAATATGTTTGATTCAGTTTGAATAGATTTATGTCATACTTATAGACACTGAATGATATCATAATTATGTTTTTATTAAGATGTTTCCAAAGGATTCACTTGTGAAGCACAGCTGAAGTAACTCAGCTGTTGACATGTTAGTTAAAGCGAGAGTGAAACTAAAGCCATATTGGAGTCTGCTGGGTCTTAATCTCCTCTCCACGGGGTAAAGGTGCCCAGCTGTTTTCATCAGCGTCTACAAAGCCACATCTTTCCAGTGCTGCCCCGTAAATTAAAGGCTTACACCTCTTAATAGTGATGGTGCAACAGGCACACAGCAAATAGGAGATTGTATTTTGCACCTGTGCCTTTTTTTGGGGGGGTTTTATAACTAAATCAGCACCTGAACTTTCTCCTGAAACCTACTTGCATACAGTCAAGTGCCTGTTGGTTGTTGGTAACTTGATTGATAGTTGAATTGTGTTTTTTCTCTACATTAAAAACCTCACCTTGAATCAGATTTTTTTTGTTTGTTTTTCAAACAGAAAAAGCTTCCACTTGCTGAAGAAAAACTCTAAACTTCTAAGAGAGCTGAAAAACTTGGACTCCAGGCAGTGGTAAGTTGTTTTTTATTCGCTATCTCCAGCAGAAATTAGATTAAATTACACTAGATTTTGCCTGATACCAGTGAAAACAATTGTCTGTAATTTAGTGCCCCTTTTTCTATCATCAAACTACAGATGCAGCTTTCTGCAATACCTGTTTTAGCCTGAGTGAAAGCAGCATAATATTGCCCCCTTTTTTGTAACACCATTATTTTCCTCATGCAAGCCCCAGCTAACCACAACTCTGAAAATCTCTTACCATCTCTCTTGTCTCTCTTCTCCCAATCAATACATACTTCCCACACTGCAAATGACAAGTGTATTGAAGAAAATCCACAGAATTGTAGCTTATTTTCGCCGATGTACCAGATTGTTAGGACAACAACAGTTTGTGTACAAGCATGCAAAGTGCCCCAAAACCTAGCGTAGAGCAATGCACTGCCATGGCAACAGGGGAAATGGATGGGCAGAGTTTGCAGCAGTTCTTTCAAAAATCAAGTGAAAAGAGGAGAAATTTGGCAGATGTTCTTTTTTTTCTTGAATTTTGCTTAGTTTATCAATTTGACTACAGGATTGTTGTTGACCTCTAATTTTCTCTACTTTTTATGTTATTCTGTAGCCGAGAGACGCACAAAATTGCTGTGTTCTACATCAAAGAAGGCCAGGAAGACAAGTGCTCCATCTTGTCAAACTATGCAGGCAGCCAGGCCTATGAAGACTTTGTGTCTGGACTGGGATGGGAGGTGGGAAGACCTACAGTTCTCTTTCTTTTTTTTTTTTTTTTTTTACAGTGAATTGTCTATACTTCAGTTTGTTGTGAAGCTTTAACATGCTGATAAAAACTTGTTGCAGATTGAGATTTTTTCTAAAATGTAACAGTGAAAAGGATTTTTCTGAGGCCTGCCTGCCATGAATGTTATTAAGAGATGACTTAACACCATGTATTAGAGACAGTATTCACTACAATACTGGGTTTTAATATTGTTTTAAACAACAACGAAATAATTATGGAGTTTAGTGTCTTCTATTAGCAATTACCGCAGATCTGGCAGAATTTGAATTTGATGGATGTTGCATGACAAATAGCAATGGGAAACCCCAGGGAATTAAACAAAGCAACTTTAGGCAGATTCCCAAAATGGGTCCCTGATACATTTCAGCTTAACTTTACGTCTTTTGACTTCAGTCAAACTCCCACACCTGAAGAGAGTTGCTGTCAGCTTCAACCAGCAGCATTCAGAATGGCACGTTTGCTGGTTGGAGAAAGATCAGCTATTTAAGTTTCCAACCAGTGCTGATTAAACTGAAAACCATCTGATTCTCCTCACAAGCCCTTTCTCACTACATCTCTGCTAAACCTAAAAGAATATTTCCAGACTACATTAAATTATACACTCAGCTGTATTCCTCAGGTGGACCTAGCCTCACACTGTGGTTTTATGGGAGGACTCCAAAGGAATGGCAGCACAGGTCTAACAGCTCCCTATTATGCTACCTCCACTGTAGAAGTCATATTCCATGTATCCACGCGGATGCCATCTGATTCTGATGACTGTCTCACCAAAAAGGTAAAAATAATCTTATTAGCTCATCTAACACTCAGTAGAAATGTGGACTATCATCGTCTTAAAAAGTTTTACATACCTGCGTACATATAGATACTTGTGTAAAGCTTTTTTATACATTAGATGCGGTGAAATGGCTCCACAGTCATGCCTGCCCAGAGCCGTGTGTTGTGTAGCCTCTACTTCTGTGTTAAGCTGTGATCAGGAGGTGTGACTCCAAAGTACGGGCATTGATTAGTGACCCTGGTCAGGAAGGCCTGAGGAGTAGAGAATCGCAGGCGCGTGAGTGAAGAGAGGGCATGTGCCGCTGGGGTAATGACTATGATTCTGCCAGCCCCTGCCCCCCTCCCTGCGCACTGTGACCAGGGCCTGGATTCAGCTATTAGCTCTCCCTGCTAGGGCAGGCGCCGGCCGGATGCCGGCAGGATCCTTTTATCCAATTCCTGCTGCCGCCACAGGAGCAATCGATTGCGTTCTGCTGTGGGATTCTAAGCTCTAGTGCAGCGGTAGCAGTTAGCACGGAGAAATGAGCCGCAAGGCCCCTGCCCGCACTGCCAATCTTCTCATACAGTACCCTGCTGGGAAGGGAAATTCATCAGGCTCTCCTCATATCCAACCACAATCCCACTTTCAGACTTTCTCTCCCTCTTGTTTTTTAAAATGGTACACTACCCATTCCAAACATACACTGAAGTTTCTCGTATGGGCACTGAAAATTAGAGTAGACTTTGAAGGAAGAATTTCTCCTACATTTACCAAAGTGAGGTGCTGGAGGGTGGTGCTATCCCATCACCATACATTTCACCAGAAACTTCTGTAATTGCTCTGGCTCACCTTGCTCAGATCCCTACACCAACCACAAGGCTGACAAAAAAATTGGCAGACTGGCTGTTGGTGCAAATGCTTTAAAGAAAAAAATACAGGAGGGAGAAGAAGAATTGGAATGAGAAACAGGCTTCGTCTCTGTCCAAGTAGGATGTTTCTCTGTCAATTTAAAAATAACACTTAGTCCAGCAGTCACCCACTTTACTGGCTGTAACCATAGAAGCATACCGTGGGGAGATATGGATGGGGTAGCTCTGGCTGAGCAGATTTGTCTTTTTGAAGATGATAGAAGGGGGGCAGACAATCCTGAAAAAGAAAAGAAAAAAGAGAACCACGAATTCCTGAATCCAATTGTTGGTTTTAGTGCAGTGCAGGCTGCAGCAGTAGCAGCTGGCTTCAGTAATGGGGTTATGGAAACGACCTGCAGGGTTGGGGTCAGGCCATGTAGTTCTTATGTGCATGTGTGTGAAAGAGAGTGAGATAGACGGGTGCCTGCCTCAGCTATCACACTCACCCCCCCAGGCACTACAGCTTAACTAGCTGCAGGTTGTTTTTATAAGGAGCCTCTTTTGTTCTGGAGTCCTCTGGTTTTCTGTTTCTACGTGTGTGAAGCCCAGTGGTTAGATGGGAGGTCAAAGAGGGATAATTGGACAAGAGCCTTTGACTCGAATCACATTTTATTAAAGAAGTCTCAAACATTTGGATGTGATTAACAGAGGGGTAAATAGATTTGTGCAGAAGATGATTTACTAGAGCATAAGCATCCTCATTAAACTTGTCATTCAGCTCATCCAAATGCTAATATCTTAACCCGAATTAACATCCCAGTGTTAATTGTCTCCTGCAAATGCATATTCAACATTTTCTCTGAAATTGTCCCAGTGACTGACCCGGCTGGTACCTGCTGATCCTTGGACAGACAGTCTGAACTGCCGAGCTTCAGTAATCAGCATGCCGTGGATTTGTTTAAGATTACCGTATTACCATAATTAAGGGCTTATAATAGAATGTGCTAATTGCATTTTTTGTTGGCAAGGGCATGTTTCTTAATGGCTCATTAGACCAACAGTACATTGGCAGATGTTTTCTTCCGAGTGGAGGCTCACTTCTCAGTGTTCTCGATAGAAATCGGAAGGGGGATTCGGAAAGGGTGCTTGGTCACTGGACTAACAGATGACGCATTAAACTTTCTCACATTTTGTCACATATTTCTAATAACGTCATTGTTTTTCATTGGGATTTTGTTTCAGATAAACCAGTACTGAGAAGTGCTGTTAAGTGAAAGGAACAGAATATGCAATTTTCATATTTTTGGGATAAAAAAAATGTCATATTTTTTATCCCAGAAAGTTGAAACTCTGTAGGCTCTAAAAGGTTTTCTTTGAGTATTTCTCTGTGAGATGCTCAACTGTGACAAAATCCATTTGTTCTAGCTAAAGAACATCCCCATGGCATGATACGACCACCACCATGTTTGACAATAGAGTTTGTATGATTGGGTAGCTGTGCTCTCCTCCAGAGTTACATGGGCCTCTTAACTTTTTCTCTGACCAAAGCTCTTCTTGCCCAGACTAAGGTTAGGTAGACTGTCAGGTTTTGGTAGATATACATTTGTGTTATTTTTAGCTAATGCCGCTTGAAATGCTCAGAGCTTTGAATAAAAGTTCTGAGCAAAAATTCTCCACAATTTTCTCTGAAATGAAATGACACACAAGTGGATTTGATGTGAATAAAATTGGTTCCATTTGACTTTATTTAGAGGTATTGGAGTAAAGGGTCCAGTGTCTTTTGAAAATTTCCTAAACCTTGTATTATTTTCCTTTCACTTCACAGGTATGCACTGTTTTATGTGGGTATATAACATAAAATTCAGACAAAGATTTTGATATGTGACAAAACATAATATTTCAAGGGGAGGGACTACTGTGGCAAGGTGCCATAGTTAATATTAATCTGTAAGAGAAGATAATGCGACTTTGTTCACCTGTTTACCTTCAGAAAAGGGGGAGACCTGTTTACCTTTTATAAACTGCTGTCAACCTATTTCCTGTCATTTAAGAGCGTCTTCTTGTCCTGCCCTGTTTCATTTGTGTTTATGAATAGAGTGGAAATGGGAAGCAATTTAAGCTCTGATGGGGAAGGTTAATTGGATTTGAATTACTTTGGTTTTAAAAAGTGCAATTTTGTCTATTTTGTGTTTGCTATTTGAATTTATAATGAAAAATCTATAAAAAGAGGCAAATCCAGGACCAGTGTGAACCTTTTTTTTTTTTTTTTGTTCTTTAACAAACTTTGTGATTTCTCTTACGCCTCCTGATTGCAGTGATAAAAAAATGGTTTCACTTTTTTTGGGACACCTTTCAAGTAAATATTCTTTATTATCTCTTATTGCCTTGTTTTTCCCCCCTCAGCTCTAGTTTTCTCTTCTGGTCTCTAGTTAATAAAAGACTGACTAGCAAAACAGTCTTTTGCAATAATCCGCCTAAATCTGTCGTCTTTCCTTCATCACTGTAACAGTGGAAATAACATGCACTACCAAGGCCCTTGATTAGAATGATTTTTGTGTTTATTTGGCAGCTGCGTCACTTGGGCAACGATGAGGTGCACATCGTGTGGTCCGAGCACACCAGGGACTACCGTTGTGGCATCATCCCAACTGACTTTGGAGACGTGCTCATCATCATCTACCCAATGAAGAATCACATGTATTTTATCCAGATCATTAAGAAGCCTCAGGTAAATATTTATAGACATTGTAACGTAATTGTAAATCTTTTTTTTTTTTTTCTGTGGTAGAGCCTTTTAATCGGTGTCGAGCGACGGTCCATGAGGCCTCAGGTCCGGTGATCATGCACTGTTGGCCCAAACCCCATGAATTAGATGACTGAATTATGTCCTTAGAATTTGTTCAAGTTCTACAAAGTTGTGCTAATTATACAATTATTTGATTCAGGTGTGTTGAGACGGAGACTCATCTAAAAGTTGCAGAGCGCAGCATTTCAGTGAGTGGTGGTTGTGTCATGCTGCGAGTGGAGTTTGAAACCACTCACAGAGTGCAATTTAAGGAAGGCATCATGTTAAACTGCCAAATAAAATTTTTATCAGTCAATTTAAATTCAGTCAAATAATCACACTTTAAGAGAGAATCGCTTTTAACAGAATCAAAACAACTATAGACCCTCCATCCGGCTGTAATTGTTTTTGACTGGGAATAGTGTAGGAGTAGGACCACAGGGGAGAAAACTCAATTTTTTTACTTTTTTAAATTTTTGCCTATCATAATAAAAAAGGACATAGTTACAGTTGTTGCAAATATAAATAAAAACATTTATAAAAGTTACCTTCTGCAGCTTTGAGTTGTTACAGTCCTTGTTTAATTTATGTTAATGCTTTTTACTTGTCTATACCAATAAAATGTTTAGTACTTCTTTGGAAAGCATGTACACTAACACCTACGCATTGGTGTACACGTTTCATATAAAAAGGAAGAAACAGTACATTTTGTAAATTAAAAGGTTTTTGTTTTTGTCCCCCTGGAATTCCAGGACAGTCTTTGCTGCTCTAAATATATCTAGGTTTTACAGAGCAGTTATAATATACAACACTTTAACCTGCTAAACTTAGTCTTATCTCCCTTGACTTAATTCATTCCTATAAGAGTTTCTAATTTGGAACATACAGCTACAAAAAGTCAGAGAGCAGAAATTGGGCTGAGCGGGCGAGAGCAGCAGGGATCATGAAAGGTTCTTTTTAACTGTTCACTCACTGTAAGTGTCTGTATAGATACACTCACACTTAGATTGTGGGAAAACCCCATATTTGTCCATTCAAATCTATAAATGAACACATTCCACAATATATGTCCAATTATGCAATTTTCCAAACTGCTAACTCAGTCTGAACTGACTTGTCATGTGATCTGAACTGTCAGAGTTTGTGAAAGTGTTATAATCTGGTTATCACAGTACATTTTTTAGAGTTAAAGTCACATATTTGGCCTGTGATTAGTTGGCTCAATCAGCCTCTTCAAATAAAATTGATGAATAGAAATGATTAGCCCACAATAAGCAAATGCCCAAAAAGCTGTCATTCTAAATACTGTTTTTGAACAGTTAGGTGGTGGTGACAGTAAAAACCTTCTGGTATCCTAGTAAACACTCTTCTATTGCCTGCCATATTTAGTTGAGAAGGTTTTGCTTTTCCACATGCTGGTTCACAGTTGAAGCTTTCTGAGACACTTAATGGATAAGATCCATCATCAAACACCCAAATGTTCGGTACTGTGACGAGCCAAATCGTACACCATAAAGTCTTCAACTGTGTTCAGACAGCACTGTGCTGTTTTAATATATTGTCTCTGTTTATGCGGTAATGCAATCTCTTCCCTGTATTTCCTGTTTTTTATGTTCTTGTGAATTTTTAAAAGATGTTTCTGCTTTCTGTTTTCTGTCTGAAGGCTTTCAGTCCTCTTCTCCTACAGCAGTGCATTATTACCCACACTGTGGGTATGTGCTCTCAGAGGTGGTTACTGCCCTTTGTTGGTTAGCTTTCATCTTGGTTACTTTGCAGTGCTGTACTCCATGTGTGGCCTCACAGAGGGCAGTGAAATGTCTAAACTCCTAAAGCCACTGATGACAGTTTTAAGATGGTTAAAAATACCTATTTACACTCTTTTTGCATAAATATTTGTTAAAAATCCTGAACATATTTGTGGGATGTTATAAATAAAAGAAATTAATTGCATCTAAAATAAATCTTTTTTTTCTTCTTTTGAACAACATCTCCATAATTTTTTTTTAAATTCAACTGGACTCTTAAAGTGTCTGAACTGCCAAATTAAACCTTTCAGGAACCCTTTGACATTCCCGTCAACTTCCAGGTCAATGACTATTGAGCTCTGGTGATTAAGGGCCCCTTCCAATATGCATGAACAGACGCGTGTACGACGCGTCTGTTCACCCACACACACACACCCAGGCTGTTGCTAAAATTCATATTGCTCCTTTTGTATTTGTCCAGCAGCTCAATATGAGGGCATTGTGTAGCATTGATTGTCATTTTAATTTCATTTACCTAACATTGATTCGCATTAGATATGTGTACTTGTCATGCAAAGTTAGGAAAAATTCAATTTCAACTTGAACCCTTTGCCCTAAACAGATGGAGCAACCGTTTGGAAGAAATATCCATGAAGATGTTTAATCCAAGAATCTCCTACAGTGCTGGGAAAAAGGATTTGCTCCATAACAGATTTATTTAAAATGTAGTTTTTATTATTATTATTATTATTATTATTATTATTATTCACACTCATTGTTTCAAATTATATTATTTAATATTAGTGACGTGCAGTCAGGGGAGGCAGGTGAGGTACAGCCTCACCTGTCATCGTGGAAAAATAACTAATGCTAAAATCATTTATATTGCTATTTTCACCCTGTGGTTTGTACTATAAAGTACCTATTTTTCATTTAGCTTAACCAATTCTGATTGTATTTTCACATTTTCTCATTCAAATGCTCAGAAGCGCAGCTGGTGAGGCAGCAACAAGCCTAGCCTCACCTGGGATTGCGCAACCTCTCGCTAATTGCACTGGCTGCCGTTCTATGGGAGCCTGCTCCTCCTGCCTGTAGGTCGCCAATAAAATGGCTAAAAAATATTTAATGTATGAACTCATTTTCCATAATTTAGCTTATGTATATAATGTGCAGTGTTTGGTTTTTGTTTTTGTTTTTTTGTCACCAATTGTATGTGACGTGTTCTCTGATGGCTAAAACAAAACAAAAAAAAACAATAGGAACATAGTGACCAGTCAAAGTCCAAACTTGAAACTGTTTATGACACTGCAACTAATGGCTCATTCAAGACAATTCTGCAAAAAATGTTTGACAAAATTCATTCACAATGGCATAAAAAATTAATTTTGAGTTAGCCTGAACACTGGATACAGTTACTGCTGTCAGGGGTGGCATGACCTGCTATTATGTATAAGGGGCAAATAGTTTGGTAAATTGGAAGCTTTAATTAGTTTGAATAGATTATTATTATTTTTTACCTTAATAAAAGACATTTTTGGACATTTTTTTTCATCATGTGACAAAAAAATCACTGTACAAATAATCATTGGACTCAAATTGTTATTTGTTCTTCTTTTAATTCTTATGTATTTGTTTTTTTCTCTCTGAAACTTTTTAGGTTCCTTTCTTTGGACCTCTGTTTAATGGCGCCATCGTCACTGGATCGCTGTTGCCAAGTTTGGTACGAGCCACTTGTATTAATGCCAGCAGAGCTGTCAAGTCCCGGCTGACTCTCTACCAGAGCTTGTATCCTTTACACCTCCACTGTGTCTTCTTCACCATCTCATGTAACAACAGATCATCACTTGAATGCTTTAGTGTAACAAAAAAGCAAAATAAAAGGCCAACAATTGAGGTAAAACTTTCCAAAGCTTCAGTTTATAGTGAAACTAAAACCCCTTCTGGGTAAATTCATTGAGACATGTGGCGTGCATGTCATGTTAGCCAGTGTACACAGCTGAGTGCTGACAGCGATCTTTATGAGCTGCCTTATTTACATATAACTATTAGGTTGGGCTGTTTCGCAGCCTGGAGCAAAATGGGAGGTTTGTAGGGCTGTTTTGGGTTGGAGCAGAGATAATGTGTCATCATCTATCACTACCATTATACGGATGAAAAAGTGAGCCAAAATTAAAGCGCCATGAGCAAATACATGTAAGTGCATTCAGACACACACGCCTGCGTCCCTCCACCCATCCAACAGTGTGCCGTTAAGAGCCTGACTCCAGCTGTAGTTGTCAGTTGGTTTAAAGAGAGTGTAATTACCAGTGGAGATAAATTAGCATGTGAATACCGACAGCATGGAGTTGTTGGGGGTGGGAGGGGTGCGGGGTGATATGGGGGACACGGATGGCCCCTTGAGGGAGAAACCCGATCTCCTCTAACGCCCCTGCTCCTCCTCGGACTACATGTACAGCACCTTCTCACCAAAGCGCCTCCATCCCACTGGCAGTTGCTATAGAAACCTCCCCAAAGGAGGTTCAGTTTGGAAGGAAGTCTTGTATTTGTGTTTTCAGATGCACGCACTTGTTTTTAAAACTTTCCTTTCGTCATACTCATGCATCAACCACCGTCTGTCCCAAATCGAGCTGCGACACACACCGCGTTGCCTGTGTGTAAGTATGCATCCGTCTGTGTACGTTTCACAATGCATCGCGTCGCCCGGCCCCCCAACCCAGTATCAGGCTGTGTCTGTGTGTCCCCTGGGGCATCCTGAGTGACAGATGTCTGTTACTCAACGCCAAGTGAATTAGCCCAGTGTGACTGTCTGTGCCAGAGCCGAGGGGGAGCAGAGGTGGTGGGGCCACTGCCGGCCTGTGTGAGCCTTAGGGAGGTTGTGGTATGGGGATGGTGGGAGTCGATGGAGAGAGGGGCGAGTAACAGGCCTGTGTTGAGTCGCACAGCTTCACCTGGCATTCCTTAGCAGAGGAGCAATAAGCACAAAGACGCGATCTATGGGAGGAGATAAGCACTGCCTCTGGAGGTCTGGCACTGATAGGCAGCCAGTCCTCACGCTGTCCAAGAGGAGATGAGACAAGTGAGCCAGGCAAAGCACACTGCCAATATCTGTAGGTCTGATGTTTGTATGTCGAATTAGATAGAGTGCTTACCAGTATAGCGGCAATAAAATAGCAAAATCTGTATTGTTTTGTAAAAACTATTTATGTGTTTGTTTTTTATTTTAGGGTAGTTGAAGTTCATTCATGTGTCGTTTGTGGCACTAGGAACTAGAAATGCCATTTTAAGTTTTGCTTTGAGGGGTGTTCAACACTGGATGCACATGTTCAACATTGGATGTACATTGCTCCAGTTTTATTTCCCCATTTATTGCATTGTTTCGTTTTGCTTCATTAGATATGCAGGTCTTTTTCTTTAACAAGTCAGAGCAACAACTTGTGTTTTTTTTTTCCCCCTGAAGGATGTGTGTGCGTTTTCCTTTTTCTGTGCAAGAAGAAAATCCTCTTCCTTAGTTTACCTCTCCACAATGCCTTAACAATCCACAGCCTGCTCTCTGCCTGTGAGGCCACTCTCCAAGGTAATTAGAGAATATTTCTTCAAAGAGGAGCTATATGACCCCTGTGTGTCCAGATAAAAGGCCAGTGTGGCTCAGCAGCCCCCTCTCTCGCTCCGTCACAAGGCTCAAGAGGACTCCAGCAGTCCGCTGCAACGCTCCCAGAATCTCTCAAGCTAATAAGATTTGATATTAAAAAATGTCCACCAGCAACATTGCAGGAAAATACACACAGATGGGCAACAATGTTTTTCAGTAGGATACCACCTCGTAATATCTTTCCCCATTATGTCCTGTTTCCATCCATCTCCCCTTTTCCTCTCTCCTGCTGATTTGTTAAGTCTGACCTGTTCAATCCACTTTTTCATGAGCTCTACAGCTGTTCGTTGCACTTTTTTTTTTGCATGTTTTGTCTCAGCTTGCTTGTCAGGACACTGCATTGGCCTCAAACTAATGAGAATCTTATCATAAGCTTTTTACAAACAACTCATCATCGATAATTTATTATTTATGTATGTCTAACAGAAAATGCAACTGGTCTGGCTTTGTGGTCAGAGCATCCCATCTGCAGCTTGTCTATCCTTCACAGAGGCTTTGTCAGCACTGATGACCACAAATTGTTTTTGTTTTTTTAAATCACAGTTTTTTGAATCATTTCTGAACTTGTGTATGCTGGGTTCCTACACAGTCCTGAAAGGGTTGGGAAAGCGTATTATTTGCTTTCAGTGTTTTTAAGGTCTGAATAAGTAGGGAAAGAATAACAACCACTTCCAGAATTTTTCACTTGAGCAGCGGCTAAGTCTGAAGCAGCTCTGATGAAACTCAGCACCTCTAAAACTAAGACCCTGTTCTTGAGCTGTAAAAGGGTAGAGTGCCATCTCCAGGTTGAAGACAAAGTGTTGCCCTAAGTGGATGAGTTTAAGTATTTCAGGGTTTTGATACTGATGAGGACCCAGGCCACTCTGGCGGGACTGCATTTCTAAACTTGAAATAGCTTGGGATTCCCCTGGAGGAACTGGCCCAAGTGACTGGGGAGAACGAAGTCTGGGCTTCTCTGCTTAGGCTGCTGCTTCAGTGGCTTGACCTCATAGTAAGTGGAACCACTGAGTGCTATATACAAAGAGTTACAGTATCTTTTTCTTCCGTTTAACTTAAAACAGCCGCAGTAAAATATTCAGGTTTTGTGTCAGAAACAATTAATGGATCTTTTTCATCAACATTTCTGACATAGTGGAAAAGGACCCGACAAAGTTGAACCATGTCTTTTTTTTTTTTTTTTTTTTTTTTTTTTTTAGACCAATACATTTACATTTTTCGATTAATAGTTAAACGCTGTGGCTTACAGTATTATATGTTTTTTTTAAATCCATATCTGGCCACATCCCAATTAAATAGAATATAATGGAAAAGTTATTCAAAGCAAAAACTACAGCTTATTGAATAAATTTGTTAAAACGATAGGGATATAAATCTATTTAAGCATTTCTTTCTGTTGAGCACATTTTCTTGGAAATTTGGCATATTTAAAAACGAGAAAAAAAAAATTTAAAGCAGAAATGCCAGATTACCAAGAAGTAAGCCTGTGTGCTGTGTCAAATGTACTCCCAATGCTTTTCGGGATAGTACATGAAATATAATGTGATGTGGGATGGAAACAAACATCTGATATATTAATAAACATCTGGTCACTTCAGTATTCGTAATAAGTCTCTCAGCTTTCTCTTAACAATACTCCACAACTTGTTTTGGGAGTTTAGGTCATGTCAATTTGGAAATCAATGAAGCACAATGATAAAATAGGCATATAAAACGGGTATTTGCACTTTTGTTATTGTGGACCAGAAAAAAATCCCATTGGAAAATGAAATGACTGCTTGAACATTGTGAGCAGTGGGAAGCATGAGGTCCACTAAAAACTAATGATAGACAGCAGCTGACTCTGGACTTGAAGAAACACAGCGAATCCGCTCCTGCAGATGGCATGGCTCACCCGATCCTCTCTGACTGTAGAAACATCACACTGGACCTCAGTCCACCTTGTCTGTGCTCCCTCCTGAAGCCCTGATACCAATGGCATACAAAACCTTATTAATTTAAAAAATAAAAATAAATACATGGGTTTTGCTTCACAATTCTCCCAAGGCTGTGGCTAATATTGCATCTTTTTCTACTACACCTTCTCCATCTTTTTTGGCCAAAATGTACCTCATTGTAGCATTACAGAGCTAAGTTCGTTTCATTTGAAAGCAGTCAGTCACAGGATGGCCTCGCTGTCCAATTCCATTTACTGTGTATGAAGGTCGTTCATGCTGTCACTATAGAGTAATCTCCTCATCCAAAGGGTGGGATTCATTTCTTTCTTTGACAAGCACTTGAGTTTGATGCTCTGTCCGTCACTTTTTGTGATAGGGCCATTGTTATAGATAAAAATGGATCTGTGTGTGTGTGTGCGTGTGTCAGCGTGTGTGTTTGTCAGATGGCAAGTTACTAATAGGTGAGACAATGCAAAACTGACCTTGATTCAGAGACATATCCTCCCTACCGGACAGAATCAATAGCTTTTGCACACTGCTCTCAGTCCCCATCCCCTGTTCTGACACACAAGTAAACACACACACACACACACACACACAGATCCATCTCCAGGCAGCGATCAATAACCATAATCTGTTTCTGCCCATCGCCAGTCATGCGAGCCAGGCTTTTAGGTGGTGTGTGTAAGTGTGTGTGTAGCAGATAGAAGAAGGTTTGATTCTTTCGTTGGAACCCAGAAAGCTGCTGAAGTCTGTCATGTTTTCCCTCTCCCCCCCACCCCCCCAACCGGCTCATATTAACATATCTGGACATAATTTCAAAGCATTTAAAGTGAAAACATAAAGAATATGATATTCTGGGTACACTCCTTTGTGTGTTGATGCTTCAGCCCAAGACTCCCATTATAATTATTAGTGACACATTCTCACAGCCCTTCCTCCAAGTTATTGTCCCACTCTCAGCCCTGTCTCTGTCTGACCACAACCTTTTTTTTTCTCTTTTGTATACTGTAAAACTCCTCACCTAGCAGAGATGAAAGTGCTCCCATATGCATGATGGGGTGTCATGAATAGGATCTGCTATGTTAGTGTTGTCTCACATGAATTATTTAGCATTGCTGATAGGTCTAATTTGCCAGCTGTTGTGCCATAACTGTCAGCAGCCTCATAGATAATACTCAGCAGTCTGGATCGCCATGGTA